GGTGAAACCCCGTCTCTACTAAAAATACAAAAAATTAGCCGGGAATGAAAAGCATTTTTTCTTATTGCTTTTTTCGGGGGGAGGGGGTGATGAAGTCTTGCTCTGTCACCCAGGCTGGAGTGCAGCAGTGCGAACTCAGCTCACTGCAACCTCCGCCTCCCAGGTTCAAGTGATTCTCCTGCCTCAGCCTCCCAAGTAGGTGGGACTACTGTACAGGCATGTGACACCATGCCCAGCTAATTTTTGTATTTTTAGTAGAGGTGGGGGTTTCTGTATGTTGGCCAGACTGGTCCTGAACTCCCAACCTCAGTTGATCCACCTGTCCCCCAAAGTGTTGGAATTACAGGCATGAGCCACCGTGCCTGGTCCTATTATTTTTTAATTTTTGAGACAGGGTCTTGCTCTGTCACCCAGGCTGGAGTGCAGTGGCAGGATCATGGCTCGCTGCAGCCTTGATTTCCCAGGCTCAAGTGAACCTCCCACCTCAGCCTCTGGAGTAGCTGGGACTACAAACATGTGCCACCAAACCTGGCTAATTTTTGTATTTTTTTTTTTTTTCAGAGATAGGGTCTTGCTGTGTTCCACAGGCTGACCTTGAACTCCTGGGCTTAGTGATCCACCTGCCTCAGCCTCCCAAAGCGCTAAGATTACAGGCGTGAGCCACTGCACCCAGCCTTATTATTTATTTATTTATATTAATAAAGCAAGTACTGTCAGGTGCAGTGGCTCACACCTGTAATCCCAGCACTTTGGGAGGCCAAGGCGGGCAGATCATCTGAGGTCAGGAGTTCCAGACCAGCCTGACCAATCTGGTGAAACCCTTTCTCTACTTAAAATACAAAAATTAGCTGGGTGTTGTGGCAGTCGCCTGTAATTCCAGCTCCTCAGGAGGCTGAGGCAGGAGAATCACTTGAACCTAGGAGGCAGAGGTTGCAGTGAGCCGTGCCATTGGACTCCAGCCTGGGCGAGAAAGAGAGACTCTGTCTCAAAAAAAAAGCAAGTTCTTGGGCTTCCTGCTGGCCTCACCTTCACCCCTTACCAGTTGTGTGACTACTACTTTTTATTTGAGGACCAGGGTCTCTGTCACCCATGCCGGAGTGCAGTTGTGGGATCATAGCTCATTGCGGCCTCTAATTCCTGGGCTCAAGCAATCATCCAGCCTCCCCGCCTCAGCTTCCCGAGAAGCTGGGACTACAAGTGCACGCCACCACACTTGGCTAATTTTTGTATTTTTTCTAGAGATGGGGTTTTGCAATGTTGCTCAAGTGGTCTCAAACGACTACTACCTTTTTTTTTTTTTTTTTTTTGAGAAGGAGTCTGTTGCCCAGGCTGGAGTGCAGTGGTGCAATCTCAGCACATTGCAAACTCTGCCTCCTGTGTTCAAGCAATTCTCCTGCCTCAGCCTCTTGAGTAGCTGGGATTACAGGCATGCACCACCACGCCTGGCTAATTTTTGTATTTTTTTTTTTTTCATTTTTGCGACAGTCTCACTCTGTCGCCAGGCTGGAGTACAGTGGTGTGATCTCAGCTCACTGCAGCCTCTGCCTCCCGGGTTCAAGCAGTTGTCCTGCCTCAGCCCCCCAAGTAGCTGGGACTACAGGTGTGCCACCACCCCAGCTAATTTTTGTATTCTTAGTAGAGATGAGTTTCACCATGTTGGCCAGGATGGTCTCGAATTCTTGACCTCGTGATCTGCCTGCCTCAGCCTCCCAAAGTGCTGGGATTACAGGCATGAGCCACCACATCTGGCCACAACTACTTCATTTTTAAGCCTAAACTTTCATTTGTTGAGTGGGAATTATATGGGTGGATTGAGAATTCAGTGCAAGTATTCAGGAGTCCACAGAACCTGGCGGAATGTAAGCCTTCCATCACGGGCACCTGCTGTGTTACTGGTTTTATTAACAGGTGTCTCTACTTCTGGATTGCCAGCCCCACGTTGGGCTCTTCTCCGTGATCTGCCAACTTTTTAATAGAACCAGCTGGGGCATGTCTGAGCTGAGCCCCAAGCCCCAGCAGTCAGATGTGGTCAGGACTCTGGCTGCCCTCCAGAAGGTTGCCAGGAAGGCACTGAGTTCTGGCTGGAGGCAGAAGTGGAGAGACTTACAGGAGACACAGAAGGAAAAACATCCTCTTCTATAAAGGCAGATATTCATGGTTCTGCCAGGCTTGTTTCCATTCATTCTTCATGCTTCAGCTCAGCTAGCCCCGTCTTCAGGAGGCTCTCTTGACCTCCCTAGGCAGGGTTGGTCCCCTCCTCTGGACTCCCAGAGCCCTGTAGGGCTCCCTCATTCCAGCCTTGATCACTGTGCTTCCTTCATCACAGCCTGACCACTCTGGGCTGACTTTTTTCTTGTTTTTAGAGATGGGGTCTCATGCTTTCTCCCAGGCATAGCTCACTGCAGCCTCAAACTCCTGGGCTCAAGCAATCCTCTGACCTCAGCCTCCCGAGTAGCTGGGACAACAGGCGTGGTGTGTCAGCCTCCCCGTTAGACTGGAGTCCCATGAATGCATGGCACATGACAGTCTAATCATTACTGCATCGCCAGGAACACCCAGCGAGGGGTCGACACAAAGTGAGCATTGAACAAAGATTTGGTGAGTAGCTCAGGATTCCCACTCTGTCCACGTAGGCACAGGGGACACCTGACCCTTCGGTGTCCACTGTTCCCACTCCAAGGCACACGACTTGGCAAATGGAGAAGGAATTTGGATTGCAGTTTGCCCCTTGGTCCGTCAGCCGCGCGCTCTGATGCAGTGCACAACCTTAGCTGCAGTGTGCAATGTGGGGCGACTCCTCGGCCTGCGAGCAGAGATGAGAGTTCAGATTCCTCCAACATAGGGAACCAGCCTTCCAGGAGGACGAGAAGGAAGGAATGAGGGGAAGAGAGGACTACCTCCACCCTTTCCAACCCCTTGGTCTCCGGGGTCTGGAAGCACTGGGCTCCACCCTCTCCGAACTAACACCTGGCGGTTGGGCGTGCCTCAGTTTCCCGGAGGCGGGGCGTTCCTCTGTCGCCGCCGCCCCCGCCGCCCCTTTTTCCTCTTCCTCTTGGGGCATCTACGGCCGCGCCTCTAGCACTCCCGGAACTGAAACTAGGCGCCAGACGGTCCGGAGGCGGGGGCCACGTCAGCGGGGACACCCCGGGCTCGCGGGGTCCCGGCGGGCGCCATGCGGAGGGGTGCGCTCCTGGCGGGCGCCCTGGCCGCGTACACCGCGTACCTGGTGCTGGGCGCGCTGCTGGTGGCGCGGCTGGAGGGGCCGCACGAAGCCCGGCTCCGAGCCGAGCTGGGGACGCTGAGGGCGCAGCTGCTGCAGCGCAGCCCGTGTGTGGCGCCCCCGGCCCTGGACGACTTTGTGGAGAGGGTGCTGGCGGCCGGACGGCTGGGGCGCGTCGTGCTCGCCAACGCTTCTGGGTCCGCCAACGCCTCGGACCCCGCCTGGGACTTCGCCTCTGCTCTCTTCTTCGCCAGCACGCTGGTCACCACCGTGGGTACGTAAGCGCCGCCCCGACAAGGCGACGAGGACCCCGGATCCCCACCTCACCCCAACCCCCTCTGGGCCTCGGATCCCCGGAAAACCCCCCAGTGAGGACCCGGGACCCACGCTCGTGTTATCCGCCCCGCTTGGAGAGCCGGGTCCAAGCTCTTCCTCCTAAGCAGGAAACAGCCAGCTCCCCTGAGAGTACCTTTGCAGAGAGCAGCTGGGACCCTGGTCCTCGGTCTTTTTTCTTTTTCTTTTTTTTTTGAGACAGGACTCACTCTGTCCCCCAGGCTGGAGTGCAGTGGTAGGATCTCGGCTCACTGCAGCCTCCCTCTCCCGGGTTCAAGAGTTTTCTTATGCCTCAGCGTCCTGAGTAGAGGGGATTACAGGCACGTGCCACCATGCTTGGCTAATTTTTGTATTTTTGGTAGAGATGTGGTTTCACCACGTTGGCCAGGCTGGTCTCAAACCCCTGACCTCAGATGATCCGCTTCCCTCCCCCTCCAAAGTGCTGGGATTATGGGCATGAGCCACTGCCCTGGGACTCCATTCCTCCGTCTTAATCCCCCTGGTGACCTGGGTCTGTCCAGTCTCCTCTAAGCCTAGGACTGTCCTCAGAGACCTCCAGCAAAGACTCAGGACCCTCCGCCCTTCAAGGGAGATCCTTGCCCCCTCTGGACCCAGGCCTTAACCATGCCAGGACCCCTGCCCTTATCTCTAGGCTGTACCTGCCACCCTTGCAATGTTTCCTGACCCTCCAGATATGTCCTTCTGGGAAAACCCCCTGGAGAAACCCCATCTCAACCTCCTCCTGACCCTGGTGCCCCAGCGAGGACCCTGAATCTCCAGATCTCTCAGGGTGCCCTCACCAAAGACCTCCCTCCTGGCAGAGATTCCTCAATGAGGACCTGGCTCCCCCATCCAGGACTCCTGCCCTTCTGGACCTAGGCCTCTGCTGCAGACCCCCATTCCTCTCCTGGCCCCGTACTCCCCAGTAGGCCACTCTGACCCCAGACACAAAACCTATCCCTAGGTACCCCACCCCATCTTGACATCTCCCCTGTATGGGGTCACCCTCAGTGCAGGGTTTTCCTCCTGACAGGGACACCACCTGTTCCCTCTAGACCTGGGACACCCAATTCGGCAGCCCCAACTAGGGATGTGTCAAAAGGACCCACCATGGAGGGGGCCTGAGCCCCTGGGAAACCCTGGGGAGCCAGACTTGGGAAAGCTCTTTGTTGGCAGGCTCTGTTGCTACCCCAGCCCCTTCTCAGCCCCCAGACTTCCTCTTTCTTTGCTGGGGATTTGCTGGGGAGAGGGGCTGGAGCAGGGCTAGTCCAGACTCCCAGCTCCCCCTCCTGGCCAGCAGTAGGGGGCAGCTTTTGCCTGTGCTCCCCCGGCTGCAGAGCTGGGTGACTTCTTATTAGCGGACCTCCCCTGGGGCTTGCCCACGCTGCCAGGGCGGCCCGACCTGCTTCTGGGCTTCCCTGGGTCATGTGTGCGCTTCCTGCCTCTTGCCAGATCCTGGCTTCTAAGAAGTCATCCCTGGTAGGGCTGGTGAGGGAAGCCGGACACAGGTCAAGCACAGCCTGGCAGCATCCCTGCTCAGCTGCGGCTCATTGCCAGGCCTCAGTGTCCTGCCCCATCGCTAGAATGGAGATAATAGCACTCCCCACTTCTCTGTAATAGCAATAGTCTGACAGAGGACTTGCCAATGCATCCTCTTTTTTTTTTTTTTTTTTTTTTTTTTGAGATGGAGTCTCACCCTGCGGCCCAGGCTGGAGTGCAGTGGCACGAACTCGGCTCACTACAACCTCTGCCTTCCTGGTTCAAGTGATTTTCCTGCCTCAGCCTCCCTAGTAGCTGGGATTACCCACATGCCACCACACCCAGCTAACTTTTTGTATTTTCAGTAGAGACAGCATTTCACTATGTTAGCCAGGATGGTCTCAATTTCCTGACCTTGTGATCTGCCTGCCTCAGCCTCCCAAAGTGCTGGGATTACAGGCATGAGGCACCGTGCCCCACCACCAATGCCTGCTTTAACTCAATCATCACAACAGCCTTGTGAGGCCGGCACCTTCATTGGCTCTGTGTTTTTAGCAATGGAAACTGAGGCCCAGAGAAGTTGGGTAACTTTCCCAAGGTCACACAGCAAAGATGGCATAGAGTAGAGATTTAGTCAAGGCCATTAGGCTCTAGAGTCTAATACTGTTAGCCAACACACCGCACTACTTAGAAAAAGGTTGCTGTGTGCGTTGTAAAAGAAAAAAAATTATTCTAACACTTGTTAAAAATGGAAAGTTATTGTTGTAGAGGAGAGACCATCACAAAGGGCAGAGAGATTGAACTCAACTCTGAATATAGCAAAGACAGCTGGAGATTTATGGCTAACAAGTAGAATAAGGGAGTTGGTGGATGGAAGAATAGTAAGAAGAGAGACATTCGGGTAGGGAGATTCTTGCTAAAGACTGGCCAAGGACTTAGATATCAAGAGGGGTGGATGAAGGCCAGGTGCATTGCCTCACACCTGCAATCCCAGCACTTTGGGAGGCCGAGGTGGGCAGATCACCTGAGGTTAGGAGTTCGAGACGCGCCTGGCCAACATGATGAAACCCCATCTCTACTAAAAATACAAAAATCAGCTGAGCATTGTGGCAGGCACCTGTAATTCCAGCTACTTGGGAGGCTGGGGCAGGAGAATCACTTGAAACTGGGAGGCAGAGTTTGCAGTGAGCTGAGATCGTGCCACTGCACTCCAGCCTGGGCAACAGAGCAAAACTCCGTCTCAAAAAACAAATAGGCCAGGTAAGGTGGCTCACGCCTGTAATCCCAGCACTTTGGGAGGCCAAGGCAGGTGGATCTCCTGAGGTTAGGAGTTCGAGACCATCCTGGCCAACATAACAAAACCCCCTGTCTCTACGTGGTGGTGCGTGCTTGTAATCCCAGGTATGTGGGAGGCTGAGGCAGGAGAATTGCTTGACCTAGGACGCGGAGGTTGCAGTGAGCTGAGATCTTGCCACTGCAGTCCAGACTCGGCATTAGAGCAAGACTCTCTTAAAGAAATGAAAAACAAACCAAAAAAAAAAAAAAAAAAAGTGGATGAGGAATTTGATCAGATATCGGGGCGGGTGACTTGTAGAATTCTTGCTAAAACTAGGCCTACTTGAGAATGGGACTCAGGAGTCAGGCTGAAGTGTGGTCATGGAGGGAGTCTGTCCGTGTGAAGCGCTGGTAATAACTGATGTTTACTGAGTTAATGTTGAGTGTTTTCATTATGGGTGGAGCCTTGAATGCATCTGGAGAAAACCAATTAAACATGATTCAGAGAGCCCTCTTCCCACAATGCCCCTCGTTTGGTCATAGGCCCAAATCTTGGCCCTGGAATTGATCCGGGCAGCCTTGCTGCACTTGAGGCAGGAGGAAGCGGGTAGTCCTACCTGGAACTGGGAATCGGAGGGAGGAAGGGAGCGTTACAATCCTTGCAACTCTTCCCACACTCCTGCTATGCCCTATCCCAGCCTGGTAGGAGTACTACCACATTTGAGGAAGGGATTGTTGCTTTTTTTTGAGACAGGGTCTTGCTCTGTCACCCAGGCTAGAGTGCCATGATGCAGTCATAGCTCACTGTAGTCTTGACCTCCTGGGCTTAAGTGATCCTCCCACCTCATCCTCCTGAGTAGTTGGAACCACAGGTGCACACCACTGCACCCAGCTTATTTATTTATTTGAGACAGAGTTTTGTTCTTGTTGCCCAGGCTGGAGTGCAATGGTACAATCCCGGCCCACCGCAACCTCTGCCTCCCGGGTTCAAGCGATTTTCCTGCCTCAGCCTCCGAAGTAGCTGAGATTACAGGCATGCACCACCATGCCTGGCTAATTTTGTATTTTTAGTAGAGATGGGGTTTCACCATCTCGAACTGGTCTCGAACTCCCAACCTCAGGTGATCTGCCCACATCAGTCTCCCAAAGTGCTGGGATAACAGGAGTGAGCCATCAGGCCCGGCCGATTTTTTTATTTTTTATTTTTTGTAGAAATGCAAGTGGGCGCCCTATGTTGCCCAGGCTGGTCTTGAGCTCCTCCTAGGCACAAGTGGTTCTCCTGCCTTGGCCTCCCAAAGTGCTGGGATTGCAGGTGTGAGCCACCTTGACCAGCCAGGAAGGGATTGTTTACCAGCCCATTTTTGCAGAGTAGGGAACTGAGGCTCAGAGGGGAGGAGTCATTTGGCCAAAGTCATGCAGGGGGTAGACGGCAAAACAGTTTTGGACTCAGCTCTTTGGAACGGTAGTTGAGGCTTACAGGCCCCGTGCTTTTCAAACTCTATGATTTGTCTATTTATAAATACTTCCCTTTAAAAAAAATCTTTATAGAGAGGGGGTCTTGCTATGTTGCCCAGGCTGGTGTCGAGCTCCTGAGCCCAAGCAATCCTCCCACCTCAGCCTACCAAAGTGCTGGGATTACAGGAATGAGCCACTGCGCCTACCCTATTTACAAGGATTTCATTTGCAAACCTGCCAGGCTGCTGGAGTTTCCCCATCAAAAACCCTTGTATTAATGAGGGTTGTAGTCATAAGTGATACACCTCAAATTATAGTCCCTTAAATAAGAGAGGAGTTCGTTTCTTGTTCACATTCCAGGTAGTCAGTCCAAGTGGTACTGCATGGTCAGAGACCTAGGCTCCTCAGCAAAACCCTGGTGTTCCTCACTCTGTTGAGAAATGTTAAGTTTACCCTGCCCCTATGGTTCTCTTGTGGAAGACACTTTTAAGTTTGTAATTACTGGTAGGCGAGTAACAGCTGCCTACCTGCTATTTTCCTGAGTTGCGTATATGTAGAACACCTGTGTAATAAAAAGAATCACCTGTCAAAGAGCATATAAAAACATGGATGAATCTCTGCGCCCGGCCTTCAGTCTGGAGAGCTGTTGGTCCCCAGACAGATCCACTCTGTTGTACTATCTGGGTGTCTGCCTCTTAGTACCTTCAGCCCGCCTGGGTGGGGGGATCTCCCGACTGAGCTGGTTCTCGGTATAACTCCTCTGTACAACTTCCATTCCCAAGATCACCTAATGGTCCAAGATGGCTGTGCTGCAGCCAGCAAGAGGAGGGAGGAAAGGAAAAAGGGAGACTGGCATCTCCCCCTCCTTAAGAACCCTTCCTGGAAGTTGCTTGACTTGTTTTTTTTTGTTTTTTGTTTTTTGTTTTTGACATGGAGTCTCACTCTGTCACCAGGCTGGAGTACAGTAGCCTGATGTCAGCTCACTGCAACCTCCACCTCCCAGGTTCAAGTGATTCTCCACCACACCCGGCTAATTTTTTCATATTTTTAGTAGAGATGGGTTTCACTATGTTGGCCAGGGTGGTCTCAATCTCCTGACCTTCTGATCCACTCGCCTTGGCACCCCATGAGATTACAGGCGTCAGCCACCATGCCTGACCACTTGACTCTTCCATGAATACCTCCTTGGCCAGAGATTAGTCACAGAGCTACATTTGGTAAGGTGGGAGGATTGCTTGAGCCCAGGAGTTCTGGGCTGTAGTGCGCTATGCCACATTAAGTTCAGCATCAATATGGTGACCTCCCAGGAGTGGGGAACCACCAGGTTGCCTAAGGAGGGGTGAACCAGCCCAGGTCGGAAACAGAGCAGGTCAAAACTCCCGTGCTGATCAGTAGTGGGATCGCACCTGTGAATAGCCACTGTACTCCAGCCTGGGTCACAGAGTGAGACCCCACCTCTAAAATGATTTCCCCTTCACTCCCTTGACTCCCCTAGGCTATGGGTACACGACGCCACTGACTGATGCAGGCAAGGCCTTCTCCATCGCCTTCGCGATCCTGGGCGTCCCGACCACCATGCTGCTGCTGACCGCCTCGGCCCAGCGCCTGTCGCTGCTGCTGACTCATGCGCCCCTGTCTTGGCTGAGCATGCGCTGGGGCTGGGACCCCCGGCGGGCAGCCTGCTGGCACTTGGTGGCCCTGCTGGGGGTTGTGGTGACCATCTGCTTTCTGGTGCCTGCGGTGATCTTCGCCCACCTCGAGGAGGCCTGGAGTTTCCTGGATGCCTTCTACTTCTGCTTCATCTCTCTATCCACCATCGGCCTGGGCGACTACGTGCCTGGAGAGGCCCCTGGCCAGCCGTACCGGGCCCTCTACAAGGTGCTGGTCACAGGTAAGCTGGGCGGCTGAGGGTGGGGCTTTGAGGAGGACCTAGCCTTGTCCCTGGGGGAGTTAAAAGCGCATAGTCCAACTCTGGGGCTTCCTTTTTTTACTGAGAGGGAGTTTTGCTGTTGTTGTCCAGTCTGGAGTGCAATGGTGCAATCTTGGCTCACTGCAACCTCCACCTCCTGGGTTCAAGCGATTCTCGGAGTAGCTGGGATTACAGGCGTGTACCACCATGCCCAGCTAATTTTGTATTTTTAGTAGAGACGGGGTTTCTCCATGTTGGCCAGGCTGGTCTCGAGCTCCCGACCTAGGTGATCTGCCCACCTCAGCCCCCCGAAATGCTGGGATTACAGGCATGAGCCACCACACCCAGCTCACTCTGGGACTTCCTAAAGGGATCCAACTCCACCCTGGGGGGTCCAGTAGAACCGTAGCCCCGACAGGAAGATCTGAGCCACAGGGTGACCACCGCCCCTCCTCCGCCTCTGCAGTCTACCTCTTCCTGGGCCTGGTGGCCATGGTGCTGGTGCTGCAGACCTTCCGCCACGTGTCCGACCTCCACGGCCTCACGGAGCTCATCCTGCTGCCCGCTCCATGCCCCGCCAACTTCAGGGAGGATGAAGACGATCGGGTGGACATCCTGGGCCCCCAGCTGGCGTCGCACCAGCAACTCTCTGCCAGCTCCCACACCGACTACGCCTCCATCCCCAGGTAGCTGGGGCAGGCTCTGCCAGGCATGGGTGTGCCTGGCCTGGAACTGAGGGGCCCTGGTGACCAGAGCTGGCTGTACGGGAATGTCCACGAGCACACGCAGGTGATCCCAAGGCCTTGCCGCCCACCGTCTCACCTTTGTTTCCCAGCATCCAGCTGTGATGTGGGGGCGGCACTCCCTGTGCCTGTGTCCCAGGCTCCGCTGGGCACCGACTTGACCTCGCTGTCCGTCCTTTCTCTCATCCTCCTTACACTGTGCCTCTCTGACTCTCTGGCGTTCTCGCTGTCTGTCTTTCCCTCTTGCTGTCTGTTTCTCTCTTCCATGTTCCATCTGTGTCTCTCAATTAGTCACTCATCAATTGCCAATTCTAGGCTCTGGGCTCGGACCTCATTTCAGGCACCAGATCTGTTACTACATCCTGAACAAGTGACTGCCCCTCTCTGAGCCTTGATTTCCTCAGTTGACAAACGGGAAGGATAGATGAACTCATCCCTGAACCTCTCCTGTGTGCTGGCCCTGTGCTAGACAGTGCTGGAGACATAGCTGACGGTGGGGACCTGCTCTCATGGGGCTCGCAGTCCAGTGAGGTGGACAGATCTGTCCCCAGACAGTGATGGCCCCACATGGGCAGGATTTAATGGAGGAGGTGAGGTGATGAAAGCGCAGCCAGAGTGGTCAGGGCTGAAGTCTGAGAAGCATAGGAACTAGGCCCAGTCGAGCTTGGAAGGTCAGGGAGGACTTCCTGGAGGAAGTGACGGTTGAACTAATACCTGAAATACGAGAAGTAGGCAGGAAGAAGTCGGACCAGACTCATTTTTCTCAGGCGTCTCCAGGGAGCAGGACCCATGGAGGGTGCCCTGGTGGTGTAGGCGGAATCTTCCCCAGCAGCTTGGAAGGCAGGAAAACTGATACAGGACCCCAGTCCAGATCTGAATGGTGTGGGAGGCGCTGCCCTTAGCCATGACACCATTGTAAGAGCTGTCCCCTTTTGTATGTTGTGCCCTGGAGTCAGCCTGCTTGAGCTCAAATCCCAACGCAGCCGCCGCTGAGTCTGGCTTGTGTCCTTGGGCAGTCACTCTACCTCTCTGCTTTTGTTTCCTTCTCTGTAAAATGGTGATCATCATAATACGACTTCAAAAGATGATTTCAGGCTGAGTGTGGCAGCTCATGCCTGTATGCCCAGCACTTTGGAAGGCTGAGGAAGGAGGATCACTTGTGGCCAGGAGTTTGAGACTAGCCTGGGCAACAGAGTGAGACCTTATCTCAACAACAGTGAAATCTAAAAATTAGCTGGGTGTGGTGGTACACACCTGTGATCCCAGCTACTCCAGAGGCTGAGGTGGAAGGATCACTTGGGCCCAGGAGTTTGAGGCTGCAATGAGCTATGATGGCACTGTCGCACTCCAGCCTGGGGACAGAGCCAGACCCTGTCTCTTAAAAAAGAAAGAAAGTGGACAGGTGCAGTGCCTCATGCCTGTAATCCCAGCACCTTGGGAGGACCACGGTGGGAAGATCGCTTGAGGCCAGGAGTTTGAGGCCAGCCTGGCCAACATTGCTAGACCCCATCTCTACAAAAATAAAAATTGAAAAAAGGGATGGGGCATTTGAGCCAGGTCCCAAGAGTAGACAAGTAGAAAAGGCAGGGAGAGGCATGCCAGGTGGGAGGAGCTGTGTGCAAAGGCCTGTATATGGGAAAGCATGCTGGCCACCAGCTTCTGGCAAGCAGTTTACCGGAATATGGAGGGAAAGGGGGAAGAAGGGCACAGGGGTGGGCGTGAGCACCCCTTAGTGTCCTTAAATGATAAGCATGGGAACCTAGTCTCTTTCCTGAGGGCCCTAGAGAGCCATGGAAGGGTTTAGAATAGGAGAGGGTCATGGTTAGGTTTGGGTTTTAGGATGATCCCCCTAGTTGCTGTGTAGAGGTGGCACAGAGAGGGAGACTGAGGCTGGGTGTCTGGGGCGGGGCTGGAGCAGGAACCAAGAGGTAGACGATGGGCCTGGGCTGAGCCGTGGAAGGCAGGTGTGGGGACACTCAGGAGCCAAGTGGACAGGCCACAGGCTTCAGGCTGGAGGGACGTGGCCAGGAAAGGGCGTTTGGAGTGGCCAGTTATCCCTGTGATGGGGACTTGGGAGAAAGAGCAGGTTTTAGCAGAGTCATTGAAGCTGGTTTAGAATATGGTGGGTGTGAGGGACAAAAGGGACATCCAGGGGGTATCAAGAGGTCATGGGGGGCAGGCCCGGGCTCATGCCTATAATCCCAGCACTTTGGGAGGCCGAGGCGGGTGGATCACCTAAGGTCAGGAGTTTGGGACCAGCCTGGCCAACATGATAAAACCCCGTCTAAAAATACAAAAATTAGCCAGGCATGGTGGCACATGCCTGTAGTCCCAGCTACTTGGGAGGCTGAGGCAGAGAATTGCTTGAACCCGGGAGATGGAGGCTGCAGTGAGCCGAGATCATGCCACTGTACTCCAGCCTGGGCGAGTCAGAGACTCTGTCTCAAAATACATAAGGAAGGAGGATTGCTTGAGCCTAGGAGTTCGAGAACGGCCTGAGCAACATAAAATACAAAAATTAGCTGGGCATGATGGTGTGCACCTGTGGTCCCAGCTACTCAGGAGGCTGAGGTGGGAGAATCACTTGAGCCCAGGAGGTCGAGGCTGCAGTGAGCTGTGATTGTACCGCTGTACTCCAGCCTGGGTGACAGAGCGAGACCCTGTCTCAAAAAAAGAAAAAGAAAAAATACTTATATTGGATATACTATGTGCCAGGCACGATTCTAAGTCCTCGATACGTTCTCTACATTTTACAGATGAGGAAAGGAGGTCCAGAGACGTTAAATACTCGCCCAAGGTCACACAGAAAGTGCAACACCGGGATTCGAACAAGGTTTTGGTTGGGCATCTTTTCCTGTGGGAGCTCAGAAACGCCCGTTGTCTAGCCCTTTCTCAGCCTCCCAACCTCCTCAGCTCCTTTTTGGCTTTGAGCTAAAGCCAGCTTGGGGCAGCTAGGTGCCTGTGGGGTCTGGAATTCATTTCTCGCTGTTTCTCCTCCCAAATACCTCTAGGGAAGAAAGTCTTTTTCCGTTCAAGACATTAAAAAGGCCAGGAGCAGTGCTTCATGCCTGTAATCCCAACACTTTGGGAGGCTGAGGCGGGAGGATTGCTTGAGCCCAGCAGTTGGAGACCAGCCTGGACATGTTAACATAACAAGACCCCTCTACAAAAAAATGTTCAAAATGAGCTGGGTGTGGTGGCGCACACCTGTAGTCTCAGTTACTCGGGAGGCTGAGGCAGGAGGATCACGAGCCTAGGAGGTTAAGGCTGCAGTGAGCCATGATCACACCGTTGCACTCCAGCCTACGCTACAGAGCAAGACCCTGTCTCAGGAGAAAAAAAAAAAGTGTGTGTTAAAAAATTCAACAGGTATAAAAGAGTACACGGTGGAACGTAAGTCTTTCTCTTACCCTCAGACCATGGATGGATGTCTTGGGTCTCCTTCCAGGCACATTCCATGTATGTATCAACCACACGCATGTGTGTGTCATTTATTTCTCACTCTATACAAGTGGCACCTAATATGGTGAGGTGGTTATGATTACAGACTCTAGAGGCAGAGTTCCTGGGTATAAATCTGAATTCTGTCACTCCCAAGCTAAGTGGCTCTGGACAAGTGATTTCACCTTCCTGTGCCTCAGTTTGCTAGTCTGTACAATGGGATGGTAACAGCATCTACCTCAGGGACTTGAGAATTCAGCAACTTCACACCTGTAAAACCCTTAGAGCAAGCAGTGTGTAGCACTCAATAAAATGTTGACTAATTATGATTCTCGCTTCTGTACTTTGCTTTTCTGTACCAATTATAAATATTAATATTTTATTATCACTTTTCTATTATTCTTATTTCTGTACCTTGCTTTTTTCACCAACACAGTGTAATGCAGAGATAATTCCGGAGACACACAATAAGTCTTTTTTTTTTCTTTTTTTTTTGAGACCAAGTCTCTCTCTGTTGCCCAGACTGGAGTACAGTGGCATGATCTATACTCACTGCAACCTCCACCTCCAGAGTTCAAGCAATTCTCCTGCCTCAGCCTCCTAAGTAGCTGGGATTACAGGTGCTCACCACCATGCCCAGCTAATTTTTGTATTTTATTAGAGACAGGGTTTCACCATGTTGGCCAGGCTGGTCTTGAACTCCTGACCTCAACGGATCTGACCACCTCAGCCTCCCAAAGTGCTAGGATTACAGGCCTGAGCCACCACGCCTGGCCACAGTAGGTCTTATATCTTACAGTTCCTCCTCTAGGACACGCCCCATAAATCATTTCAGCATCCCCTGTTGATGAATATGTGGATGTTTTCCAGTCTTTTGCTGGTACAACAATGCTGCGCAAACATCTTGCACTTTAAGATCTAACAAAGGGATTGAGTGAGCCAGGAGTTTGAGACCACCCTGGGCAACATAGCAAGACCCTCCCTATACAAAAAATTTAAAAATTAACCAGGTGTGGTGGCACACATCAGCTACTTGGAGGCTGCAGCAGGAGGATCACTTGAGCCCAGGTGTTTGGGACTTGCTTGGACAACATGTGAGACCCCATCTCTGTTGGGCATGTAATTAGCTGGATTATTAATTGGCCTGTAATCCCAACACCTGGGAGGCTGAGATGGGTAGGAAGATCACTTGAGGCCAGGAGTTTTAGACCAGCCTGGTCAAAATTGTGAGACCTCATCTATATTTAAAAAAAAAAAAAAAAGATGAAAAAAGGTCAGCACAATGACGAATGACTGTAATCCCAGCACTTTGGGAGGCCAAGGCGGATGGATCACAAGGTCGGGAGTTCAAGACCAGCCTGACCAATATGATGAAACCCCGTCTCTATTAAAAATACAAAAATTAGCTGGGCATGGTGGCGCATGCCTGTAGTCCCAGCTGCTAGGGAGGCTGAGGCAGGAGAATAGCTTGAACCCGGGAGGCAGAGGTTGCAGTGAGCCGAGATCACGCCACTGCACTCCAGCCTGTGTGACAGAGAGAGACTCTGTCTCAAAATAATACATGAATGAATGAATGGCTCCAGTGCATGGTGACTGAGTTTCTTCCTTTAGAAGACATCACTGTTCCCTGGCTTGTGGGGCTGGGCTGGGGTGGGAGAGATAGACCACCATCATCGATTCATTTACATAAAACAACTATTGTGTGTGGTGCCTGGCAGGGCTGGGGGACAACAGAGGCAGAAAGCCACATACCCTGCCCTCATGGAGCTTGTGATCCAGTGGAAAAGAAAGACCCATTTCTAACTAGGAGTGGCATAGAGCGGCCGAGAGATCAGATGAGGGCTGGTCACGTATCACGGAAAAGACCTAAAGGAAGGAAAGTGGTGGGCCTTGTTAAAAAGTAGGGAATAGGGCTGGGTGCGGTGGCTCATACCTGTAATCCCAGCACTTTGGGAGGCCGGGGTGAGGGGGGCGCAGATCACAAGGTCAGGAGTTCAAGACCCGCCTGGCTGACATGGTGAAACCCTGTCTCTACTAAACATACAAAAATTAGGGGGGCATGGTCATGGGCACCTATTCAGGAGGCTGAAGCAGGACAATCACGTGAACCAGGAGGTGGAGGTTGCAGTGAGCCGAGATCACACCACTGCACTCCACCCTGGGTGATGGAGTGAGACTACATCTCAAAAAAAAAAAAAAAAAAAAGGATGGAGTACTATTCCAGAGGGCATTACTGAGCCTGTGCAGGTCTGCAGTGTGCACAGGTCATGCCTGATCAAGGATATTCACGTCGGTCCATGGGCTGTGGACCATAGAGGTCGATGGCGGAGAGGGCAGATGAGCCAGACAGAATGACAGGAGGAGAGTATGAGGGCTTTGCAAGTTTTCCTGAGGGCCTAGAGGGTCATGGAAGGTTCTAGAGCACTGGTTCTCAAGGTATGGTCTCCAGACTATTAGTACCAGCATCATGTAGGAACAAATTGTCAGGCTCCATTCCAGATCTACTGAATCAAAAATCCTGGAGGTAGCCAGGTAGCTCTTCAGGAGGCTGAAGTGGAGCATCACATGAGCCCAGAAATTTAAGGCTAACCTGAGACAGGGTCTTGCTCTGTCGCCCAGGCTGAAATGCAGTGGTGTGATCACAGCTCACTGCATTTCTGTGTATTTCACAGCTCACTGCAGCCTCAAACTCCTGGGCTCAAGTGATTTTCCTGCCTCAACCTCCTGGGAAGCTGGGACCACAGCGTTGGGCCACCACACTGGGCTCATAAAAAAAAATTTTTTTACCAACAGGGTCTCACCATATTGGCCACGCTGGTCTCAAGTGATCCTTGTACCTCAGCCTCCCAAAGTACTGGGAATACACGTGTGCACCACTGCACCTGGCTGAATTTAATTTAACTTTCTGAGACAGGGTCTTACTCTGTTGCCCAGGCTGCAGTGCAGTGGAGGGATCTCAGCTCTTTGCAAACTCCACCTCCTGGGTTCAAGCAATTCTCCTGCCTCAACCTTCCGAGTAGCTAGGATTACAATTGCCCACCACCACGCCCAGCTAATTTTTGTATTTTTTTTGTAGAGACAAGGTTTTGCCATGTTGACCAGGCTGGTCTCAAACTTCTGACCTCAAGTGATCCGCCCACCTCAGCCTCCCAAAGTGCCGCGATTATAGGCATAAGCCACTATGCCCAGCCAGAGACTCTATCTTTAAAACAAAAACAAAAACTCAGTATGTGGTGCCCACCAACGTGACTTACCCAGCCCTTTAGGTGAGTCTAATGCATGCTTGAGTTTTAAAACCACTGAGTTAAACGTCTGGTTTGATGTTCATCAAAAAGTCATGGCCTGAATCCTTACCTGTAAGGAACAAGAATGCAAATGAAAATTAACTTAATGAATATTTTACTTGAGCCGGGCACATTTCCCAGCACCGAGTGTGATGGCTGCCCTTGTCCTGTTAAGAGGATAGTGTTAAGCGGCTGATTCATTCACATAAGGTCTCTAGGAGACCACACTATTTTGAGGAGTAGAATTTTGGGGTAGGGCGGGGCGTGGTGGCTCAGGCCTGTGATCCCAGAGCTTTGGGAAGCCGAGGCAGGTGGATCGCCTGAGGTCAGAAGTTTGAGACCAGCTTAGCCAACATGGCGAAAAAATACAAAAAAAAAAAAAAAAAAAAAAAAAAAATTAGCCAGGCGTGGTGGCTGGCGCCTATAATCCCAACTACTCGGGAGGCTGAAGAAGGAGAATTGCTTGAACCCGGGGGGCGGAGGTTGCAGTGAGCCGAGATCGCGTCACTTCACTGCAGCCTGAGCGAAAGAGCAAAATTCCGTCTCAAAAAAAAAAAAAAAAGAATTTTTGGGTAGAAGGACAAGTAGGGACGGTGCCTCCTGCCGAAACAACCAATAAGAACTCCTTGAAGGCCTTCCTGGCACAAACGTTGTCTCCAGCACCCTCTGCCGACCACGCGCCGCGCTCTGAGTGCTGAGACTGCCCCCGGCCCTCTGCGCCTTCGGGTTACACGTTACCTTGGAGACACCGTGCGAGGCGGCGTGCCTCAGCAAAGGCGGAAGTAGGCTGTGGAAGTGTGGGCGGCCATTTTGAGACCGGGCAAAAGGAACGGGACTGTTGCGGCGGAGAGACCGTTGACCGGTTTTAACCAAGTGACTGGTACCACAGGGCCGGGGAGAAAAAGCGGTGCCATCCCGGGGCGGGGGGATGCCAGGGACGGGGAGGGGCTAGGAAAGCGAGGAGAGGGGAGGAGGGGGGGAGAACGGGAGAAACAGGGAAAAGAGGTGAGTCGTGGGAACTGGCAGAGGGAAAGGGAGAGCCAGACGCGAAGGGTGAAGGGCGGGGCGCGGTAGGAGAGGCGGGATATAGAGCAGGCAGGTGTTAATGGCATGGGAAGAAAGGGTGAGAAGTGGGGCAAGAAGGTGTCGTGGTACGAGGGGAATGTGAGACTCGAGAAGGTGCCGACCAAGAAGGTGGTGCCGGCGTGGAAGGAGAAGGTGTGGGGAGAGGAGAGAGCGAAGGGCAAGGAAAAATCCCGAGGCGAAGAGACAGTCTTCTTCGACAAAGGGCGGGGCGAGAAGGAGGGGCGTGGCCAGAGGGCGGGACGGGGCGAGGGGCCGGCGCGGGAAGAACCAATCGCCGAGAACCCGGGGAAGGGACGGGTCCACAAGGTCGAGGTGGAGGAGCAAGGGCGGGGCCAGGAGCGGAAGCAGAGAGAGCACCGAGCAAGCCCCGGGCACGAAACTTGGGCCGGGCGGGGAGCAAGAGAAGGGGCGGGGCCTGGAGAGGGGCGAGACTAGGTATAGTACCCAGCCCCTGGGCAGACCCCGGGCGAGGAGAAAGGGGCGATACCGAGAGAAGTGTGGAGGTGGGTGGAAGTACACGGGTGCGATTGCAGGTAGGAGTAGGAGGGGGGAATACAGGAGGGGGACTGTCAAAGCGACAAATAGAAACCGAGACCAGGTGAAGAAGAGCAAAAGTGGAATACAGAGAGGGTGCAGAGCAAGGAGCAAGGATGGGACAAAGTTAAAGGAAGAGACATGGAGGCAAGGCGGAACGAGGCACAGGAGCAGAGCTGTGGTCAGAAACATTGGTAGGGCTGGGGCCCCGAGCAATGGCAGAGGTGCGATACCGACGAGAGTCAGCGGCGGGGCCAGGAGCAAGAGCAGGGGTGGGACTAGAAGTACGGTCAGAGGCGGGGCCAGGAGCAAGAGCAGGGGCAGGACCAGGAGCAAGAGCTTGGGCATGGCTGGGAGCAGGCAGGGGCTGTACCAGGCTCAGAGGGGAGGTGGAATCTTAGAAGTGGGGTCCAGAGAGGTGGCCTGCGCGTGGGTGTTGATGCCTGCGTTCTCCAGGTTCTAACCACGTTATTGTGCGACTCAGCCATGTTCCCTGCTGGTCATGCGTGGCCCAAAGTCCGAGTCCTGCAGGTGCTGTGGGCCCTGCTGGCAGTGCTGCTGGCGTCACGGAGGCTGTGGGCTCTCAAGGATTTCCAGGGATGCACCTGGCATGTTGTCCTGAACGAGTTTAACATGGTAGGCGAGGATGGCGTGGAAAACCGCTTCTTTAAGCAACAGCCCATGGACACAGTGAGCAAGGTGTTTCAGACGCTAGTGGATTCACCCGTCGACATGAACGAGGTGAGAGAACCAGGGTCAAGCGAATCACAGGGATTTTGAATCCCCACTCCACACAACTCTGGACATGCTGCCTAACCTCTCTTTGCAGATATACATGGGCTTCCCTTACTACCTGAAGATCAACTACCTCTGCAACCAAAAGGTGAGTGGGTGCAGAAGGGATAGGTTCATTCTGTGAGCCTCGGTTTCCCCATCTCTAACTTTTTAAAAAATTTTTCCTTCTTTTTGGCAGTCATCTTTGACTAAACTTTTTAATTTTTTTATTTTATTTCTTAATTTTTTGAGACAGAGTCTCACTATATTGCCCAGGCTGGAGTGCAGTGGTGCGATCTTGGCTCACTGCAAGCTCTGTCTCCGGGGTTCAAGCAATTCTCCTGCCTCAGCCTCCGGAGTAGCTGAGATTACAGAGGTGCGCCAACATGCCCTGTTAATTTTTGTATTTTTAGTAGAAACAGGGTTTCACCACGTTGCCCAGGCTGGTCTCAAACTCCTGATCGCATGTGATCCACGCGGCCTCCCAAAGTGCTGGGATTACAGGCATGAGCCACCTCGTCCAGCCCCCATCTCTTAACATTTTTTTTTTTTTTTTTTTTTTTTGAGACGGAGTTTCGCTCTTGTTACCCAGGCTGGAGTGTAATGGCGGATCTCGGCTCACCACAACCTCCGCCTCCTGGGTTCAGGCAATTCTCCTGCCTCAGCCTCCTGAGTAGCTGGGATTACAGGCATGTGCCACCATGCCCAGCTAATTTTTTGTATTTTTAGTAGAGACGGGGTTTCACCATGTTGACCAGGATGGTCTCGATCTCTTGACCTCGTGATCCACCCGCCTCGGCCTCCCAAAGTGCTGGGATTACAGGCTTGAGCCACCGCGCCCGGCCTAACATTTTAATAGCAGTAGCACCATTCAGCCCTGGTGGCTTTAAGAATTCAAGAAGGCTATCTATGTACAGTTCTCAGTAACCCACCAGGCACCTGGCTGGTGCTCAAGTAAGCTTTTTTGTTCCATGTTTTTAAAGCTATGAGTAGGACTTTATCATATATATAACTCACACACCATAACATTCACCATTATTATTATTTTTTGAGGCAGGGTCTCACTCTTACCCGGGGTGGAGTGCAATGGTGAAATCATGGCTTATTGCATCCTTGACCTCCTGGGCTCAAGTGAACCTTCTTCATCAGCTTCTTGAATTGCTGGGACTAGTTGTGCACCACCACACCACCATGGGAGAATCACTTGCATTCAGAAGTTCAAGACTAGCCTAGGTGAATTTGGCTGGGCATGGCTCACACCTGTAGAAGTGCTAAGGGTAGAGCATCATATTTAGCCCAAGAGGTTGAGGCTGCAGGGAGCTGTGATCATGCTACTGCACTCCAGCCTGGGTGACAGAGACAGACCTTGTCATTATTTTTATTTTCATTAATTAATTTTTGAGATGGAGTCTTGCTCTTGTTGCCCAGGCAGGAGTGCAGTAGTTTGATCTCGGCTCACGGCAGTCTCGGCCTCCTAGGTTCAAGCAATTTTCCTGCCTCAGCCTCCTAAGTAGCAGGGATTACAGGCGCGTACCACCACGCCTGGCTAATTTTTGTATTTTAGTAGAGACGGGGTTTCATCATGTTGGCCAGGCTGTTCTCGATCTCCTGACCTCAGGTGATCTGCCCCCCTTGGCCGTCCAAAGTACTGGGATTACAGGTATGAGACACTATGCCCGTCCTACACAGTCTTAATTACTGTACCTTTGTAGTAAGTTTTCAAATGAGTTCTCCCATTTTGTTCCGCTTTTTCTAAATTGTTTTGTCTGTAGTTAACTGTTTGTGCTCTGAAGTCAGGCACCTAATAGCTGTGTGTTCTCAAGCAAGTTACTTAACCTGTCTGTGCCAAAGCTTCTTATCATTAACAAGGGTATGATAACAATCATACAGTGATTAAATATGTGTGAAGCATGCTCAGTACTTGGCTCATAGAAAAGGCTCCATGTGGGAATAATACCTTTTTCTGTTCACTTGACACCCACTATGAATCAGGCCCCCCTTTTATTGCAGGTGATACAATGGTGAATAAAATGGTCAGGTTTTTCGTGTGGATTCAGTTGACCCTGGAAGCAGATAATCAGCAAGTAAATGCATTAAAAATGAAATAATGATTTTATTTTTTTAGAGACAGGGTCTTGCTCTGTTGCCTAGGCTGGAGTGCAGCGGCTCAATTATAGCTCCCTGGAGCCTCCACCTCCTGGGCTCAAGTGATCCTCCTGGCTCAGCCTCCCAAATAGCAGGGATTACAGGCTTGAGCCATCACACCAGTGGACTTTTAATTTTTTTGTAGAGACAGGGTCTTACTATGTTGCCTGAGGCTGGCGTAAAAGAATTTCTAAGAGTAATATTAGTAAATGCGAAGAATAAAATGAGGTGATATGTTAGAAAGAAGGGGGCACTGTTTTAGTGGAGGAGGCTGGAGAAGGTCACTCTGAAGAGGCTTGAGCAGAGACTCAAATGATGAAAAGTGGCGACTGTGAGGAGAGCCAGGCAAAGCATTCCAGGCCAAGGGAACAGCCCGCACAGTGGCCCAGAGGTAGGAAAGAGGGCAGCAGGTGTGAGAAACTGTGAAGAGGGCTGTGTGGCTGCAGCAGAGTCAGTGGGAGGGAGTGTGGGAGACAGAGGTCAGGGAGGTGATGGGGGAAGGCTTTTTGGGCTTGATGGGCCATGGTGAGGACTTGGCTTTTACTCTGAGTGAGACAGAGCCTGAGAAGGCCCTGTGCAGAGGAGGGACATGATCTGATTCTGGCCTTCACCAGCTCCCTCCTGTTGTGTGGAGGGCAGGGCAGGGGTAGGGTGACAAGGAGGAGGCTGCTGCGTTGCCCAGGCAGGAGATGATGGGGCACAGGACCAGGGTGTTAGCTGCTGCTGTCCTCCTCACAGGGAGGAGGTCCCTGTCCCACCAGCAGCTCCTCCTCTGGAATGGGAACTCAGAGGCAGGGCTAGGGACAGGTATAATGGACAGGATTGAAAGGAGCCCCGCGCGAGGTGTCATGGCTCATGCCTATAGTCCCAGCACTGTGGGAGGCCGGGGAGAGAAGATTGCTTGAGCCCAAGAGTTCAAGACCAGCCTGGGCAACACAGGGAGACCCTGTCTCTACAAAAAAATAAACAAATTGGCCGGGCACGGTGGCTCAAGCCTGTAATCCCAGCACTTTGGGAGGCCGAGGCGGGTGGATCACGAGGTCAAGAGATCGAGAACATCCTGGTCAACATGGTGAAACCCCGTCTCTACTAAAAATACAAAAAACATTAGCTGGGCATGGTGGCGCGTGCCTGTAATCCCAGCTACTCAGGAGGTTGAGGCAGGAGAATTGCCTGAACCCAGGAGGCGGAGGTTGCGGTGAGCCGAGATTGCGCCATTGCACTCCAGCCTGGGTAATAAGAGCGAAACTCCGTCTCAAAAAAAAAAAAATAAATAAATAAATAAACAAATTAGCCAGGCGTGTGTGGTATGGTACCTGTAGTCCCAGCTACCTGGGAGGCTGAGGCAAGAGTACTGCTGAAGTCTGAAGAGGTGGAGGTCACAGTGAGCTGTGATGGCACCACTGCACTCCAGCCTGGGCAACAGAGCAAGACTTCATCTCTTAAAACCCCAAAAACAAAATAATAAAATAAAAAAAAACCAAGGCCAGGTGTAGTTGTTTACACCTGTAATCCTAGTATTTTAGGAGGGTAAGGCTGGAGGATGGCTTGAAGCCAAGAGTTCAAGACCAACCTGGCCAATACAGCAAGACCCTGTCCCATGTGAAAAATAAACAATTTGGGCCGGGCGTGGTGGCTCACGCCTATAATCCAAGCACTTTGGAGGCCAAGGCGGGCGGATCACCTGATGTTGGGAGTTCAAGACCAGCCTGACCAACATGGTGAAACTTCATCTTAAAATAAAATAAAATAAAATAATAAAAATAAACAATGTAAATAAATAAATAAATAAGGCCAGGCGTGGTGGCTCACGCCTGTAATCCTAGCACTTTGGGAGGCCCAGGTGGGTGGATCACCTGAGGTCAGGAGTTCTAAACCAGTCTGGCCATCATGGTGAAACCCCATCTTTAAAAATAAAAAAATTAAAAAGTTAAAAAAAAGAAAAGTAAAAAAGAAAAAAAAAAGTTACCTGGGTTCAACTGAAGTGCGAGCCTGCTCCACCCAGAGAAGCACTCTTTATGAGAACCAGTGGGAAAGAGCCTGAGCCACTGGAACCTATTCCCTGTGACTCCATGGCATGGTAGGTGCTAAACAAATGAAAGACCTCTAGGCTGTAAAAATGTTTCTCTTCATTGAGTAGAAGTATGGTATCCTCTCCCTCAAAGAAATATTTAAAACAAATTTTAATTATGTCCTAATTCATTATGTGATGTCTTGACTATTCAAATGTAATGTATTTCTTGGTGAACTGTACTCAATTGGTTAGAAAATGGCCAGGTATTATGTATGAAATATTTGTATTGGTTTGAAGATAGTCCTTCTAAATCATCAAGGAAATTTACACACACACACACACACACACACACACACACACAGACACAAATTTTCGAAGAAGGAAAAAGAGGCTGGATATAGTGGCTCATGCCTGTAATCCCAGCACTTTGGGAGGCCTAGGAGGGCAGATCACTTGAGACCAGGACTTCAAGACCAACCTAGGCAATGTAGTGCGAACTCATCTCTCTAATTTTTTTTTTTTTTTTTAAGATGGGGTTTCACCATATTGGTCAGGCTGGTCTCGAACTCCTGACCTCAGGTGATCCGCCCACCTCAGCCTCCCAAAGTGCTGGGATTACAGGCGTGAGCCACCGCGCCCAGCTTAATTTTTTTTTTTTAAAGCATAGAACTGGGTATCCCTGGATGGAAAGCAGCATCCTGGGTGCCACATCCCTCCCCCTTCCCAGCACCCCCACTTTCCAACACCCCTCCCCCTTCCCAGCACCCCTCCCCTTCCCAGCAACCCCCTTCCCAGCACCCCCACTTTCCAGCATCCCTCCCCCTTCCCAGCACTCCTCCCCTTCCCAGCACCCCCCTTCCCAGCACCCCCACTTTCCAGCACCCCTTCCTCTTCCCAGCACCCCTCCCCCTTCCCAGCATTCCTCCCCCTTCCTAGCACGCCTCCCCTTTCCCAGCACCCCCACTTTCCAGCATCCCTCCCCCATCCCAGCACCCCTCCCCTCTCCCCAGCATTCCTCCCCCTTCCTAGCATCCCTCCCCCTTCCCAGAATCCCTCCCCCTTTCCAGCACCCTTCCCCTTCCTAGCACCCCTCCCCCTTCCCAGCATCCCTCCCCACTGCACAGTTTTGCTCATCCCATGCTACCCTTCCCTGTGTATTCCATACATGCACATTCTGTCTGCAGACACTGGCTCTGGTGTCATCTCCTCCAGGAAGGCCTCCAACTCCCTCCATAGCCCCTTACCTCTCTGCCCCTCTCCTGTGCTGGCCCATCCCCCATCCAAGCCCCAGACCTAGACCACGCCTTCTGACCATCACAGGGTGGACAGTGTGCTGCCCTGGCCAGCCTGAGAGACAGGCTGCTCAAGGTGGACTCAAGGCAAGGGGACCCACAGGCCACCATAAGGACACACTTGTGGGGCCATCTCGCCCTCAGCTCTCTCAGGACCTGGTGCGCATGGGCCACCTGACAGGGCTAAAGCCCCTGGTGCTGGTCACCTTCCAGTCCCCAGTCAATTTTTACCGCTGGAAGATAGAGCAGCTGCAGATCCAGATGGAGGCTGCCCCCTTCCGCAGCAAAGGTGGGCCTGGGAAGGTGGGAGGGGATCGCAGCCTGGCAGGGGTGTGGGGGTTGCTGGCGACCTCCCTGGGGCCATGATCTGACGAGGGTATGGAAGGTTGCTTAGCACGTTCCATGGCCTAGATGGGGCCACACAGAGACCCCAGTGGGACCCATGGCATGGAGGTGGATATGGGAGTTGTGGGGAGATCCCAGTGTGGTCTGGGGCCTGGAACTGGCCATTGAGAGGCCCCAGCAGTTTCAGTTTCAGAGGAATGCATGGCAGAGGAAGTGTGTAGCATGAGCTGGTACACACCCATGCCCATCAAGAATGGCAGCGTGATCATGCACGTGGACATCAGCAGCAATGGCCTGGGGACCTTCATTCAAGATAAAGGGTACCCTTTCCCAAGCCTGGGGCTGGGGTGGACTCCGGGGGAATTCTTCACCCCAGGATCCCCAGAGGAGCCAGTGGGAGACCAAAGACAGAGAATGGGGAGAGGAGAGGCAGCCATAAGCTGGGGAGCTCCTGACACTGGAGCCTCACCTGTGCCTGTCATGCATCTGCTGCTAGCTTCCACGTGAACATCAACGGCTTCCTGAAGCTAGACGAAGATAACAACATCGTGTACGCTGTGGGGGAGGAGGTGAGGGGGTCTGCGCAGGGGAAAACAATGGGCTGGGTCTTGGGCTGATGCCCTGGTTACTTCCCAGACAAGTGGCAGATCCAACTTCATGCCAGGCCCCGGGTGAAGGTCCCAGTAACCTCCTCCCCAGTGACCCTTCGAGGGGACGTACTCTCACATACTCCATTGTAAACAAGAGGAGAAAACTGAGGTCCCAAAGGGATGGAACCATTTTCCCATAGTCTCTTAGCATGGAAGGAGACTTGAAGCTATCCGCCTGACTCATGTGTTTGTTTTTTTAGACACAGTCTTACTCTGTTGCTCAGGCTGGAGTGCAGGGGCGTGATCTTGGCTCTTGGCTCACTGCAACCTCCACTTTCCGGGTTCAAGTGGTTCTTGTGCCTCAGCCTCCCTAGTAGCAGGTATTACAGGCATGAGCCACCATGCCTGGCTAATTTTTGTATTTTTAGTAGAGACCAGGCTTTGTTATGTTGGCCATATGTTATGCCAGGATGTCTCAAACTCCTGACATCAAGTGATTCACCCACCTCAGCCTTCCAAAGTGCTGACATTATAGGTGTGAATTTTTTTTTTTTTTTTTTTTTTTTTTTGAGACAGGATCTTGCTCTGTCATCCAGGCTGGAGTGTAGTGGTGCAATCATGGCTCACTGCAGCCTTGACCTCCCAGGCTCAAGCAATCCTCCTGTCTCAGCCTCCCGAGCAGCTGGGACCACAGGCATGTACCACCATAACCAGCTAATTTTAAAATTATTTATTTATTGATTTATTTTTGAGACAGAGTCTTGCTCTGTTGCCCAGGCTGGAGTGCAGTGACATGATCTCGCCTCACGCAACCGCTGCCTCCCGGGTTCAAGCAATTCTCCTGCCTCAGCCTCCCAAGTAGCTGGGGTTACAGGTACCCGACACTGTGCCCAGCTAATAATTTTTTTTTATATTTTGTAGAGAGGAGGTCTCACCCTGTTACCCAGGCTGGAGTGCCATGGGACGATCTCGGCTCACCGCAGCCTTGACCTTGTCAGGCTCAGGTGATCCTCTTACTTCAGTTTTTGTATTTTTAGTAGAGACAGAGTTTCGCCATGTAGCCCAGGCTGGTCTCAAACTCTGGGACTTCAGTGATCCGCCCACCTCGGCCTCCCAAAGTGCTAGGAGGACAGGCGCCAGCCACCATGCCAGGCCTGTACCCATATTGTTAATCATGATGCATTCATCCATTCATGCATGCAGTCACTTACTGAGCACATGTTGTTGCATCGTGGGGACACAGCAGTGAACACACAGACCCAAATCTCTGCCCTCCTGGAGCTGACACTCTAGTGGGAGAGACAGATGGTAAACTGGTAAACGTGGAAATCAAGTGAATTCCATAGTAGGTTAAAGGGTGGTAAGTGCTCTGGGGAGAAACAGAACAGAGCGACAGGAGTTGGGTCTGTGCCGAGGGAGAGTGTAGTGTTTAATAGGATGGTCAAGAAAGGCCTCGCTGAGAAGGCTGAGTAAAGCCTCCAAGGAGAGAATCGCATGGATACTAGGGCAAGGGCGTTTCATCAAGGGACACAGCGCAGAGGCCCTGAGGTGGGCATGTGCCTGGGAGGTCTGAGAAGCAGAGAAGAGGCCATGTGGCCGGGAGAGAGCGAGCGAGGGCGAGAATGGTAAGGAATGAGGTCAGGGAAGTGAGGAGGACAAATCGTGTGGGGTCTTGTGGGTCCAGATCAGGCCTTAGACCTACATGTGATGGAGCCACAGGCAAGTGACCAGAGTATTGATGTCCCTCCCTGGCAGCTCTACAGCCTGACACCTGAGCACTTTGTGGGTATCTCATCGAGGCCCCTGTGGTACACTGTGGACCAGGCACCTGTGCTTATCCTGGGTGGCATTCCCAATGAGAAGTATGTCCTGATGACTGACACCAGCTTCGAGGAACACTCGTTAGTGGAGGTGAGTGGTGTGGGGCAGGTGGTGGGCGGGGCCTCCTGGAGGGGGCGGGGCCTCAGCCCCTGAAATAGAGTAGGGGCCCGGGGCTCTAGAAGAGGTCCCCAAAGGCACACCAGTCCCCATGAGAGGGAGATAGCGTGAAGAAAAAAACCACAAGATTCTACAGCCAGAGGGCCTAGGTTCAAATCCTGGTTCTGCCACCTCCTGGCTGCCTGACCCTGGACCTGGCAGTTCAACGACCTGGCTGGTCCTCAGATTCCTATTTGTAACATGGGAGTAATGTTTATATTTGTTCATAGAATTGTTGTGAGGATGATATAGTTAGTTTCTGGCCGGGTGCAGTGGCTCACGCCTATAATCCCAGCACTTTAGGAGGCTCAGGTAGGAGAATCGCTTGAGTGCAGGAGTTCAAGACCAGCCTGGAAAGCATAGTGAGACCCCTTTTCTTTTTTTTTTTTTTTTTGAGACGGAGTTTCGTTCTGGTTTCTTAGCCTGGAGTGCAATGGCGCAATCTCGGCTCACCGCAACCTCCGCCTCCCGGGTTCAGGCAATTCTCCTGCCTCAGCCTCCTGAGTCGCTGGGATTACAGGCACACGCCACCATGCCCAGCTAATTTTTTGTATTTTTAGTAGAGACGGGGTTTCACCATGTTGACCAGGATGGTCTCGATCTCTTGACCTCGTGATCCACCCGCCTCGGCCTCCCACAGTGCTGGGATTACAGGCTTGAGCCACCGCGCCCGGCCCTTGTGAGACCCCTTTTCTACCAAAAATTAGCTGGGGGTGGTGGCATCAGCCTGTAGTCTCAGCTACTCAGAAGGCTGAGGCAGGAGGATTGCTTGAGGCTGGGACCTTGAGGCTGCAGTGAGCTATGATCACACCACTGCACTCCAGCCTGGGAGACAGATCAAGACCCTGTCTCAGAGGAAAAAAAAAAAAAGTTAATAGCTTCCATAACCAATGGTATATCTGTACCATTACCTTCTACACTCTGGAAGATTCTGCATTGCAATATACGTCTCTGCCCAAGGCTTTCCTATTAGGCATTGAGAGCCTATATTATCCCAGAATAGGGAGGGAGTGTCTGAAGTAAGGATCTTTCGGCTTCCTTGACAGAAGCATGATGGAATTAGTGCAGCTGCAGGCAGAATGCTAAGCCAGGTTGGTTTACCCAGAGAACTGGCTTTAAGAAGTGCACCCAGAGCTGGGCACAGGGGCTTACACCTGTAATCCCAGCACTGTGGGAGGCTGAGGTGGGCGGATCACCTGAGGTCAGGAGTTCAAGACCAGCCTGGGCAACATGGTGAAACCCTGTCTCTACTAAAATACAAAAATTATCCAGGCATGGTGGCAGGTGCCTGTAATCCCAGCTACTCGGGAGGCTGAGGCTGGAGAGTCGCTTGAACCTAGGAGGCAGAGGTTGCAATGAGCCAAGATCATGTCACTGCACTGCAGCCTGAAAGGGAAAGAAAAAACCCCCTTCAAAAAAAAAAAAAAAAAAAAAAAAGATTGCCTTAACTTCCTGCTGTAAAGATCAAAAGCCCTATTCGCAATTTCTGAGGATCCCATGTGGATTAGTATTCTCCTGACCGCCTCTGGCTCTGCTTCTGTGTAATTCGTTCAGTTTGTGGACCATCTGTCTGTCCAGCTTTCTCTGTTCTGAGCCAAGTCTATTCAGATGTTATTCAATTTCCACAAACTTCTTCTTTTTTATTTTTTTTTCAGGAGACAGGCTCTTGCTCTGTCACCAAGGCTGGAGGGCACTGGTGCCATCATAGCTCATGGCAGCCTCCAACTCCTGGGCTTAAATGATCCTCCTGCCTCAGCCTCCCAAGTAGCTGGTACTCCAGTCATGTCCCACCACACCTGGCTAATTTTAAAAAATTGCTTGTAGAGATGGGGTCTCACGTTGCCCGGGCTGGTCTCAAACTCCTGCCCTCCTCAAACTCCCATCTAGGCCTCCCAAAGTGCTGGCATCACTGTGCCTGGCCAGTTTTCACAAACTACTTCTTTTTTGAGATGGAGTTGTGCTGCTGTTGCCCAGGCTGGAGTGCCATGGCACGATCTCAGCTCACTGCAGTCTCCACCTCCTGGGTTCGAGCGATTCTGCTGCCTCAGCCTCCCAAGTAGCTGGGATTACAGGCACGTACCACCACACTCTGCTAATTTTGTATTTTTAGTAGAGATGGGGTTTCACCATGTTGGCCAGACTGGTTTCGAGCTCCTGACCTCCAGTGATCTGCCCACCTCAGTCTCCGAACGTGTTGGTATTACAGACATGAGCCACCATGCCTGGCCATAGAGAAGGTGTTAATATTCACAGGAATGAAAACAAGTTCAGTTTGAATTCAGGTATCCAAATTCTAGTTCCTTTTTTTTTTTTTTTAGCTTATTGAGGTGAAAGCCATAAATTTAACCATTTTATTTTATTTATTTATTTTTTTACTTTTTTATTTTTATTTTTTTTTTTAAGAGATGGGGTTTCACCATATTGGCCAGGCTGGTCTCGAACTCCTGACCTCAGGTGATCCATCCAGCTTGGCCTCCCAAACTGCTGGGATTACAGGCGTGAGCCACCACGTTCACTTTTAAAGTGAACATCAGTGGCGTCTAGTTCATTCACAATGTTGTGCAACCACCACCACTATCTACTTCCAAAAATTTCCATCACTCTGAAATAAACACTGAGTTTGTTTTTATTTCATGTCAGACAGGCAATGGGCCGACACTATAACAAGGTTTGAGGGAGGCACATCTCACATGAGGGTGAAAACCCAATCACCACACTTAGAAACTACAAGAAGAAGACCAGACATGGTGGCTCATGCCTGTAATCCCAGCACTTTGGGAGGACGAGGCGGGCGGATCATGAGGTCAGAAGTTTGAGACCAGCCTTGCCAAGAAACCCCGTCTCTACTAAAAACACAAAAATTAGCTGGGTGTGGTGGCTCGCACCTGTAGTCCCAGCTATTTGAAAGGCTGAGGCAGAAGAATCGCTTGAACCCAGGAGGCAGAAGTTGCAGTAAGCCAAGATTGCACCACTGCACTCTAGCCTGGACGACAGAGCAAGACTGTCTCAAAAAACAAAAACAAAAACAAAACAAAAAACAACGTCCTTTGGGCCAAGCATGGGATGCTGTATCTGTGTGGGTATAACACTGACTGTATGTAGCCAGGGGCACGAGGACCACTGAGAGCCGTTGAGCATGCTGTGCACTGCCCAACTCCAGGGGCACACGAAGCCTGAACTGGCTCAGGCCTGGGTCACCTGCTTCTCTGGTCCTTATGGGGGAAGTTTGGCTACCAAGGCGCTGCTGCAGGGTGAGCAGGGAGAGTGCCCCGGGAAAGCTTTGTCTGTCTCTCCCAAGCAGCTGTCAGAGCAGGGACTTCCCCTAAAGGCAGGACATGGGGGCTGAGGCTGAGGCCACCTGCTCACCACTAGCCTCTGCTCCCCTGCAGCTCAGCATTGACAGTTGCTGGGTGGGCTCCGTCTACTGCCCCCATTCTGGCTTCACCGCCACCATCTATGACACCATTGCCACCGAGAGCACCCTCTTCATTCGGCAGAACCAGCTGGTCTACTACTTTACAGGCACCTATACCACGCTTCACGAGAGCAACCGCGGCAGTGGTGAGCGGGCCGTGGCGGGGCCCACACCTGGGGAGGGAACCTGTCCATTGAAGGCCCCTGGGACGGGAATTGCCGTGGGTGGGGTGGGGGAAAAGGAAATTGCCCAGGCCCTGAATCATCCCTGCCTACCCCAAATGGACCTTCCCTTGCCCTTTTTTTGCCAGTATGAGGCTTCCACTCAGACCCTCCTGGAAATTGTGAGCCAGCCGTGAGAAGAGGGGGTGTGAGAGTGAAGGGAGGTCGCAGAGGGTCATGTGCACACACACGATGGCAGAAGGACATGCTAAGAGAGATCAGACTGGGAGAGAGAAAGTCAGAGGGAGAGGGGCATGGGAAGTCAGAAAGTCAGAGCAGGAGAGAGAAACAGACAGCAAAACCTCAAGGGAAGCTCATCTGAGAGGAGAAAGAGAGTCTAGCTGCAGTGGCTCACGCCTGACCGCTCAGGAGGCTGAGATGGGGGGATCGCATGAGTCCAAGGGTTTGAAGCTGCAGTGAGCTATGATCGCACCACTGCACTCCAGCCTGGCCGACAGACAAGACTCTGTTTTATTAAAAAAAAAAAAGAACAAACCCAGAAATTGTGGTTCATGCCTGTAGTCCCAGCACTTTAGGAGGCTGAGGCAGGTGGATCATGAGGTCAGGAGTTCGAGACCAGCCTGGCCAAGGTTATGAAACCCTGTCTCTATTAAAAATTAAAAATTAGTTAGGCGTGGTGGCAGGTACCTGTGATCCCAGCTATTCGGGAGGCTGAGGCAGAGAATTGCTTGAACCTGGGTGGCGGCAGTTGCAGTGAGCCGAAATTGCGCCACTGCACTCCAGCCTGTGCGGCATGACACTCTGTCTCAACAACAACAACAACAACAAAGGGGCTGGGCGCAGTCGCTCACGCCTGTAATCCCAGCACTTTGGGAGGCCAGGGCAGGTGGATCACTTGAGGTCAGGAGTTCAAGATCAGCCTTACCAACATGGTGAAACCCCGTCTCTACTAAAAATACAAAAATTAGCTGGAAGTGGTGGTGAGCATCTGTTATCCTGGCTACTCAGGAGGCTGAGAAAGGAGAATCACTTGAACCCAGGAAATAGGTTGCAGTGAGCTGAGATCATGCCTCTACACTCCAGCCCGGGAGACAGAGCAAGACTGAGTCTGAATAAAAAGAGAGAGAGAGAGAGGAAAAAGAGAGGCTGTTGATTCAATTTCATCTTTTAAATGATACCAAAGCTCTCCTATTTCTTCTAGTTCCCCCCCAATCTTAGTGAGAACTGTCAGCTTACAGAGTCACCGGAAATTGGACTGTAACTTACATGTCATGAGTGAATGCATGTTCCCAGCAGTTTTGCTTTCTCTCTTACTTGGGGCACTTTGACAGTGGGAGGAACCAAATTCAAGTTGGCTTAAGCCAAAGAAAAGGGGTGTGTATTGGTTTCCATGGCTGAAAAGCCCAGGAGCATGTTGGTTTCAGGAATGGCTGCACCCAGGGGCTCACTGTCACGGTTAAGCAGTCACCACCTTGTGCCTGGCATGGTGACTCTGGCCCCTGCCCAGCAACTATAGACTTTTATGCCCCTCGGAAGCCCCAGAAAAGAGCATCTTGTTACTGATTGCAAGCTGGAATTGCCTCTGATTTGCCCAGCTTGATCACCTGCTAATCGCTGTGGCCAAGGGACTGCAAGGGAGGGATCAGCCCAATCTGACCCTCGTGGACAGAGTGTGAGCAAGGAGGATTTTTTTCAAAGGCAGCAGGTGCCCCCTGCCAGGTGCCCCTGACACCACCCTGAACAAGTGCTTCAGCACGAGAGGGCAGATAACAGACTCACTAAAGCTAGGGAAACGTGGGTGGGGGGCGTAGGCCGCAGGCCCAGCCACCTGGATCTGAAGCCCCATGCTGGCCTCCCTAGGCAGCTGGGTTCGTGTCCTGGCCAGCGAGTGCATCAAGAAGCTGTGCCCTGCGCATTTCCCTGCCAATGGCTCTGAGTATGTAATGGCCCTTACCATGGGCAAGAATGAGGGTTTTCTACACTTCGGGACCATCACAGGTAAGGGTGGGGACCTCTGGGAGCCCCAGGGACCCCTCCATACCCTCCTACCTCCAAGGATCCTAACCTTGGGCCCTCGCTCCTCACCATGTGCCCTCAGGAGGGCCCCAGGCTGAGGGCGGCGGTGGTGGTGGTGGTGGAGGGATGTGTTTGTAGGGGTAGGGCTTGGGTGGCTGTTATGTATCTTTCATGATGTACTTGGTTTTAAAGGGCAGAAGAGCCAGATGCAGTGGCTCAGGTCTGTAATCCCAGAACTTTGGGAGGCTGAGGCAGGCAGATCACTTGAGGTCAGGAGTTCAAAAACAGCCTGGCCAACATGTTGAAACCCTGTCTCTACTAAAAATATAAAAATTAGCCAGACGTGGTGGCAGGCACCTGTAATCCCACTACTCGGGAGGCTGAGGCAGGAGAATCACTTGAACTCAGGAGGAGGAGGTTGCAGTGAGCCGAGATTAGGCCACTGCACTCCAGCCTGGGCAACAGAGTGAGACTGTCTCAGAAACAAACAACAACAACAAAACCCAAAAAACACAAAATGGCAGAAGCCCAATTCAAAGATATTTAAAGCACAACGGGGCATGGTGGCTCATGCCTATAACCCCAGCACTTTGGGAGGCCAAAGTGGGTGGATTACCTGAGGTCGAGACCAGCCTGGCCAACATGGCAAAAGCCCATCTCTACTAAAAATACAAAAATAAGCCGGGTGTGGTGGCATGCACCAGTAGTCCCAGCTACTTGGGAAGCTGAGGCACAAGAATCACTGTAGTCCCAGCTACTGGGAAGCAGAGGTTATAGTGAGCCGAGATCATGCCACTGCATTCCAGCCTGGGCAACAGAGTGAGACTGTCTCAATAATCATAATGATAATAACTTAAGCACAAAGAATTTGATGACTTATATAAATGAAAAGACAGGTTCAACTTCAGGTATGGCTGGATCCAGGGGCTCACAGGGTATGTCATCAGGACTCCATCTCTTGGTAATGTAGTGAGGCATGGTAATTAATTATAACACAGATTCTGGAGAGAGACTGCTCCATCACACCCTTGCTGTGTGCCTTTGGATGTGTAACTTGACCTCTCTGATCTCGTTTTCTTCACCTACAAAATGTGGCTAATGGTAGTACTGGTATCTAGGTCACTGGGTTGATATAAAGATTAAATTTTTTGTAAAGGTCTTAGCACTAGGGCTATGGTGAGCGTTACAAAGGGTTTATTATTGTTGCTCCTATCATTTGCCTCCATTTTCAGGTAGCTATTCCTCCATTGGAGGTTAAAGCTGGCCCCTCAAAACTTGAGACTCAAGTCAGCTACTAGTCTGAGTCACGCCAACAGAATGAAGACAGCTCGTTTCCAATTAATTCTAACACAAGTCCCAGAGTAAACTCTGATTGACCTTATGTGGGTCACATGGTCAGACCTGAGCCAATTTCCATGACTAGAGACAGACATGGTCTAATAGGCCAGGTGTGAGTGAGACAAGGCCAGGGAACGAGATCCCAAGGATTGAGGGGCTGAGAGGCATGAGGAGGACAATCAGCATTGGCTTGATGGGCTGCCGGACAGGAGGGAGAGGGCCTGAACATGAGTTCCACCTTGCTCTGCAGATGGCCAGGTGTCCTTTGAGATGCTGCCCAAGCACTGGTCTGTGTGCCAGCAGATAGCAGGTACTCATCCCTCCGATGGGTCTGTGGCGGGAGGCTGGGGGGACTGAGGGTGCATAACAGCAGGGGAAGGCGGCAGTTGTCATGGGAAAGAATGGGCAGTAATCCCAGCACTTTGAGAGGCCAGGGGGCGGGGGAGCAGATCACGAGGTCAGGAGATCGAGACCATCCTGGTTAACACGGTGAAACCCCATCTCTACTAAAAATACAAAAAAATTAGCCAGGTGTGGTGGCAGGCGCCTGTAGTCCCAGCTACTCGGGAGGCTTAGGCAGAAGAATCACATGGACCCGGGAGACGGAGGTTTCAGTGAGCCAAGATCACACCACTGTACTCCAGCCTGGGTGACAGAGCGAGACTCCATCTAAAAAAAAAAAAAAAAAAATGGGCAGTGTCTCAGAGAGGGTTGAGCATTATGTGAAGAGTCACAGCCAGCACAGGACCAAGGCTACTGGGCCCTGGGGTGGCCCTGGACTGCCCTTTTCTCTCTCAGATAACACCTGTAGCATAATTTGGTCCGAATACATTGCGGGCGAACAGACCGTACTGCTGCTGGTGGAGACTGGATCTATTGAAGGCAGTAAAATTTACATGGTGATCAGCTACAACAGAGGTAATCGGGGTGACGCAGAGGGCGGGGTGCAGAGGGGCAGGAGCCCAGACTGTGAACTGCATGCCCTCCTGAGGGATCTGTGCCCAGCAGACAGAGGAAGGGTGAGATTACCTATGTCACTCCTGGATGAGGGGTAGCAGTGGAGGACGGAGTATAGGTTTGGTGATCCGAAAGGATGCTGTGACTCACAATGAGAAGATTTTATTTTACCTGCAGTGAGAATAGGGCCACCATGTAGAGTTGTACAGGCTGTGCACTGCACAAAACTGCCAACCAAGGGGTCAGAGGAGACAAGTCTCGTGCCTTAACAGGACTGTTTCCCCTCAAAGGCAGTGCCTTTTTATAATTCACTTGAAGAAACTCGAAAGGGCTAGGCACGGGGCTCACACCTGTAATCCCAGCACTTTGGGAGGCCAAGGTGGGCGTCTTGCTTGAGCTCAGGAGTTCAAGACCAGCCTAGGCAACATAGCGAAATCTCATCTCTACAAAAAATACAAAAATTGGCTGGGCGCGGTGGCTCATGCCTGTAATCCCAACACTCTGGGAGGCTGAGGCAGGTGGATCACCTGAGGTCAGTAATTGAAGACCAGCCTAGCTAACATGGTGAAACCCCCGTCTCTACTAAAATCACAAAAATTAGCCGGGCATGATGGCGGGTGCCTGTTATCCCAGCTACTCGGGAGGCTGAGGCGGGAGAATCGCTGGGAGAACCTGGGAGGTGGAGGTTGCAGTGAGCTGAGATGGCGCCATTGTACTGCAGCCTGGGCGACAGAGCAAGACTCCATGTCAAACAAAACAAAACAGAAAAACAAAAATTATCTGGGTGTGGTGGTAGTACGTGCCTGAAATCCCAGCTACTCCATAAGCTGAGGTGGGAGGATCACTTGAACCTAGGAGGCAGAGGTTGCAGTGATCTGAGATCATACCACTGCACTCCAGCCTGGGCAATAGAGTGAGAGCCTGTGTCAGGGGGAAAAAGAAAAGAAAAACTCGAAGCACTGGCAAACCTGGATGGGAAGCTCTTTGGAGGGTTTTGCAGGAGGCCAAGAAGCGAACGACTTGCTCCAGCTCCAGGTTTTCAAAGTGCAGGGCCTCAGGAGATTTTGCTGTGTTCTCCCCATCTGTAGCTACCGATGAAATGACCGTTGTTTCCGAAGTCCCAGAATTTGTTCCTGACGGTAGGGGGGAAGGTAGAGGTGGCCTTAAGGGTGGCTATAGGCCAGGAGGGGTCCAGGTGACCCCCACCTCACTGCTTGTGTCCTCTCTTCCTCTGCCCCGGTCAGCTCGAGGTTTGCAGTTCCTGATGATCCTAGGGACAGAGACCTACACCAGCACCCGGATGGTCTCCAAGGGCATCTCCTTTAACCCATACAACAACTTGATCTTCATCTGGGGCAACTTCCTTCTGCAGAGGTGAGCCTCCACCACCCCGGCGGGCCAGGGATGCTCTGTCTCCCCAGCACCTTTGGGGGGGGACCCTTTCTGAAGTCTCACCAAGCCTTCAGAGGATGCCCAGATCCAGAAGTTATCAGGACCGTGGGGGAACACATGGGTAGGGTCATCAGCGCTGGAACCAGGGGATGCCACTATTCTAATGCTGTGGGAGCCCTTTTCTTAAAGACCCAGCCTGTGTGAGTAATAGATGAACAGTTTCTAGGGTTTTTTTTGTTTTTGATTTTGGGGGGACATGGAGTCTGTCACCCAGGCTGCAGGGCAGTGGCACAATCTTGGCTCACTGTAGCCTTCACCTCCCAGATTCAAGCGATTCTCCTGCCTCAGCCTCCTGAGTAGCTGGGATTATAGGTATGCGCCACCACACCCAGCTAATTTTTGTATTTTTAGTGTAGACGGGGTTTTACCATGTTGGCCAGGCTGGTCTTGAGCTCCTGACCTCAGGTGATCCTCCCACCTCAACCTCTGAAAGTGCTGGGATTACAGGCATGAACCACCGCATCTAGCCTTGACAAGCATTTTCCAGAGACAGTTCAGGATCCTCTTTGCCTCAGCCACCTTCTTGCCCCTCAGGAACCTAGGGGCTCCTGAGCCACCTTCATGGGTGGCTGGCAAACTGCCAGTTTGGCCCGATGCTCCTGTTTTACAGATGAGGAGCTGGAGACTCTCAAAGGGTTTGGGGTGGGGGTCAGGAGCTAGGATTTCCTTTGCATGTCCTCAAAGTGGAGAAACTGAGTAAGAGGCTCCCGTGTTACTAGGCCTGGGGTTGGGGGAAGTGGCTGTCCAGGATGTGCCTAGCTCTCTGTCTCTACCCCTGCAGCTCTAACAAGGAAAACTTAATCTACCTGGCAGACTTCCCCAAGGAACAGATCATCAAATATATAGCCAGATCGTTCCTTGGGAACATGGCTATAGTCACAGAGACAGAGGAGGTGGGCTGCCCTGTCCCTCCCCCATACCCTCTCTGCCCTCCCCCAAATCCCAGGGGCCTCTCTTTTCCCCCTGTCAAGGTAAAGGAACTGAGGGGGGGGCACCCTCGGGGACCCTGAGAAAGGGCAGTGAAGCTCCATTTATAGCTGAAACCCCTGGAACTCAGAGAGGCTAAGTGTCATCTCCAAAGTCACGCAGACCACAGCCATGATCTGATGTTCAGAGGCTGCTCTCTTTCATCCCACAGTGTGGTTGTTTGCTTCATAAATATTGAGCATTTACTGTGTGCCTGCCCCCATGCTGGAGAACACAGAGCGATCAGGGCTATAATGGGGGAAATACTACCTATGGAAGTAGGGGAACCTGGCCACTCTGGGGAGTTGTGCATGCAGGGAGGGCTTCCTGGAGGACCCACATGGAGGGGGACATCTTGGAGGTGGAGAGGATCCCCCAGGTTGTGGCTCAGGAAGAGGAGTGAAGGTTCCCTTCAGATGTGTATGGGGGTGGGTATCAGTGCAGAGATGGGAAACTGAGTCCAAGGAAATGGTGAGACCCTGAAGGCTGCAAAGAGTGAGAAGAAAGTGGTCTCAGCCCAAGGAACCTCGACTGTTAGGGAGTGTGCATGATAGGGATGCTCAGGGTGCCAGTGCCAGAAACCCAAACAGACCAAAAGCATTGAAAAAAATGATCATGAGCTGGGCATGGTGACTCACGCCTGTAATCCCAGCACTTTGTGAGGCCGAGGCTGGTGGATCACCTGAGGTCAGGAGTTCAAGACTAGTCTGGCCAACATGGTGAAACACCATCTCTACTAAATATACAAAAAAAAAAAAATTAGCTGGGCGTGGTGGCACTCACCTGTGATCCCAGCTACTTGGGAGGCTGAGGTAGGAGAATTGCTTGAACCCAGGAGGTGGAGGTTGCATGAGCTGAGATTTTGCCTCTGCACTCCAGCCTGGGAGACAGAGTGAGACTCTTGTCTCAAGAAAAAGAAAAAAAAGGAACAAAAAAAGTGATCATGGTGTGTGCGGGCCGGGACCAGAGGTGACTGGGCTCTGGGAAGTAGACCAGTGGCACCAGAGAAAAGGAAGGGGGGCGCTCTTGGTCCCAGTGGAGGTGGGTTTCCAAACCTCATCCTTCAAACAATGGGGCCACCACACTGGGCAGAGGGAGAGGTGGGATCAGAGGATCCATGGTCCTCACACGCACATCTGGATGTCATGCCTGCAGATCTGGTACCTCATGGAGGGCACCTACCGGGTGTACCAGCTGTTCCCGTCCAGGGGCTGGGATGTGCACATCAGCTTACAGTGGATGCAGCAGTCCTCTCTCTATGCATCTAATGAAACCATGGTGACCCTTTTCTATGAAAACAACAAACTGTATCAGGTGCCCGGTGGGGCTTTTGGGGAGACATGGGGCACCCCAGGAGGGCTGACACCAGTTCACCTGGGCCTGCCTTCCCCCTGCAGCTGGTGTACCTTATGCACAAGAATGAGGGCAAGCTGGTCAAGAGGCCCATGCCCGTGGAGAAGCTTCTGATGTATCAACAGCACACCAACTACTATGACTTGGAGAGGAAAGGGTGAGAAGACGCCAGAGGGTGGTGGGGGTCTGAGGGCTCCCGGCACTGCCCTCCTGAAGCTCCCATTGTTGAGAGAGGGGTGACCAAGCCAACCCTGGTGACAACCTCGGGGCTGTGATGGTGGGAGCTCAGCACTTATGGAAGCTCAGAGAAGGAGGCTGACGTAGCCAGAGGGGAGGGTAAATCAGGGAGGGCTTCAAGGAGGAGGAGGTGTAAGCGCTGCGACAAGAAGGGTGAGGAAGGGATTAGCTAGGTGATAAGGTGGGGAAGGGTGTTCCAGAAATGGGGAACCACCTGTGCAGAGGCCCTGATTGGGGGGGGCAAGGTGAGCCTGGTGGTCATCGGGAGAAACTTGAACTTCATCTTGAGGGTCCTGGGGGAGCTATGGATGGCAATTAAGGGAAAGGACTGCAGGGTCGGATTTTACCACATGCCATAATGATGCCTCCGGTAGCCGTCCAGCAGAGGGTGGGTCAGAGCGACCCAGGGAGGCAGCTGGGGTCGGGGCGGGGACCCGGCGCTGGGGTGGAAGGAGGAACAAGAGGCTTCTGCCCCCAGCTGACGCTGAGGAGGAAGATCGGGGCTGGATTCGATTCGGGAAGTGGGAGAGATGGGAAACAGGCCTGAGGAAGCTTCCCGTGGGCGGGGTGCTTAGAGCCGGCCGCCTCCCCCTTGCCGCTGCCCAGGAACTACTCGATGCTCTCCTTCACCAACCTCTGCCCCTTCTCGGTGATGCGCCTGCGGAACCTGCCCAGACCACAGAGATACACGCGCCAGGAGCGCTACCGGGCGCGGCCGCCGAGCATCTTTGAGCGCTCGGGCTTCCACACCAAGAACTCGCTCGCCATCTACCAGGGCCTGGTCTACCACCTGCTCTGGCTGCACACCAAATACGACAAGGTGGGCGTCCGGCGGCGGGCGGCGCAGGCCTGGGACCCGGAGCCGGCTCAGAGGGCGAGGCCTGTGGAGCGGAGCGCAGTGGGACTGGAGAGCCGGAGGACCCTGCGTGGGAGTCTGCGGGCGGGGCCTGGCCTGAGCGGGGCTTCGAAGGGAGGGTGTTGGGGGTGTGGCCAGGTTGAAAGCAGGGTTTGGGGACGGGCTGGGGTGTGTATCTTCTGCTCTGGGTTAGGGGCTGGCACTGAGGCTAGGAGGGGGCCTGGGGCTGCCGCTGGCCTGGGGGCTCTCGCCGCCCCCCCTCCCTTCACGGTGCGGGGCGATCCCTGCAGCCGTACGCGGACCCGGTGCACGACCCCACCTGGCGCTGGTGGCAGAACAACAAACAAGACAAGGTAGGCAGAGCTGTTTGGGAGCCGGGCCAGGGGAGGCGCCCGGTCACCCCTCCCCGTGCCCCCACCTCCGGCGCTGAGTCTGCCCCGCGCATCCTGTACCCCAGGATTACTACTTCTTCCTGGCGAGCAACTGGCAAAGCGCGGGCGGCGTGTACATTGACATGGACAGTTACGAAAAGATCTATAACCTCGAGCCCGAGTACCAGCTGCCGGAGCGCATTTTTCTAGACAAGGGCACTGAGTACAGCTTCACCATCTTCCTGTCGGCGCAAGGCCGCTCGTTCAGTGCGCAGGCAGAACTCGGTCTGTGCGCGGGGCCAGAGTGGCGTCCAAAGGGCGGGGTGGGGGCTGCCCAGAATTTGGGCGTCTGGGGGGCAGGGACACTGTCCAAGGGGCGGGGCCTGTCTGTGAGGGAGTCCTTAACCCCGTTTACTGCCTAGAGCAGGCAGCGCCTTCCAACCGCACACCAGGGTGGACGTGGGCGTGGTGCTGGCCAACCCGGGCTGCATCGAGGCCTTGGTGAAGCAAGAGATCCTGATTAATCGCAACTCGGTGCTATTTTTGGTGAGACCTGGTGGGAAGTTGGGATCAAAGCAAGTTTTTTATTTTTATTTTTTGAGACAGGGTCTTGCTCAGTCGCTCAGGCTCAAGTGCAGTGGCGTGATCACTGCATTATCGGCCTCCTTGGCTCAAGTGATCCTCCTCCCTCAGCCTCCTGAGTAGCTGGGACTGTAGGCATGCGCCACAGTGCCCAGCTATTTTTTTTTCTTTTGAGACGGAATCTTGCTCTGCCACCCAGGCTCAGCTCATTGCAACCTCTGCCTCCCAGGTTCAAGCGATTCTCCTGCCTCAGCCTCCCTAGTAGCTGGGATTACAGGTGCACGCCACCACAGCCAGCTAAATTTTTTTGTATTTTTAGTAGAGATGGGGTTTTATCATGTTGGCCAGGCTGGTCTTGAACTCCTGACTTCAAACAATCTACCCACCTCTGCCTCCCAAAGTGCTGGGATTACAGACATGAGCCACTGCACCCAGCCTTAACTTTTTATTTTTTGTAGAGATGGGGTGTCTCCCTATGTTGCCCAGGCTGTTCTCAAATTCCTGGGCTCAAGAGATCCTCACACCTCCTCATGAGGTGTGAGGCATGAGCCACCCTGCACCTGGCTCTGTTAGCCTGTTCCTGAGTAGGAAATGGAGGCCTTCCGTGCTACCAGCCCCCTACCTCGCCCCAGCTGTGGGTTATTTGAACTGTTTGTTGGTCTTTGGGGAGACCTGCTTAGTCCTTCATTTCTGCCTCTCCCCTCCTTCAACCCCAGATTACACTCAAGGATAAAAAGCTTTGCTATGACCAAGGCATTAGCGGACATCACCTTATGAAGACTTCCATGATGGTCAATGTGAGGTCCAAGCCTGGAGGCGAGGGCGCAGGACAGGGGGAAAGCCTGGGCCTGCGGGGATCACTATCTTCACCTCCTCCTGTCCGCAGGTGGTGGGCTCATCTGGGTTCTGCTTCCAGGACACGCACCTGGAGCCCCATATGCAAGTACTGAAACTTGGGATCCTGCGTCCTGAGGCTAATCCCCCTGAGAATCCCACTAATGTATTCATAATTTTCTTTCTTCTCATTCTTTCTCATCATTCACTGTCCCCCACCCCACCCCAGTACCTCCTTTCATTCTTTTCTTTTTTTTCTTTGAGATGGAGTTTTGCTCTTGTTGGCCAGGCTGGAGTGCAGTGGTGCGGTCTTGGCTCACCGCAACCTCTGCTTCCTGGGCTCAAGTGATTCTCCTGCCTCAGCCTCTCAAGCAGCTGGGATTAATAGGTGCCCGCCACCATGCCCGGCTAATTTTTTTTTTTTTTTTTTTTTTGAGACGGAGTTTCACTCATGTTACCCAGGCTGGAGTGCAATGGCGCGATCTCGGCTCACCGCAACCTCCGCCTCCTGGGTTCAGGCAATTCTCCTGCCTCAGCCTCCTGAGTCGCTGGGATTACAGGCACACACAACCATGCCCAGCTAATTTTTTGTATTTTTAGTAGAGACGGGGTTTCACCTTGTTGACCAGGATGGTCTCGATCTCTTGACCTCGTGATCCACCCGCCTCGGCCTCCCAAAGTGCTGGGATTACAGGCTTGAGCCACCGCGCCCGGCCCCGGCTAATTTTTTATATTTTTGGTAGAGATAGGGTTTCTCCATGTTGGCTAGGCTGGTCACAAACTTCTAAATTCAAGTGATCCACCGGCCTCAGCCTTCCAAAGTGCTGGGATTCCAGGTGTGAGCCACCTCACCTGGCCTAACTCCTTTCATTCATTCATGTTTTTAGAAAGGGCCACCTTTCCAGTTGTGCAGGTTGCACACAAGCTTATATGTTCCCTCTGATAACTTTCTGCCAAGGGAGAGAATAGGGTCTGCGAAACAGGGCCGCTTTTGGCAATTGGCACAAAGATGGCATACGGTCTGGCCTGGCCCTACCTTCACATCTCGCCCTTCCTCTGCCCACTCATATGTTCCTCATTCAGTTCTTCGGGTTCTTGGTTCTTCCCTTGCTTACACATGTGATATCACCTTTGCCCAGGGGCAGACACGGAGGCTCAGAGAGGTGCAGAGTAACCCAGGGAGCTAATAAGTAATAGGGGCGGGGCCTGCCCAGAGTTCTTGTTCTCACCCACTTCCCTACCCATTCCCTGGCACACACATCCTCGTGTTCCTCCCTCCTGGCTTAGAATGACCTTGGGCAGTAAAAAGGGGTTATAGCAGTCCCCAACTCCTTGGAGTACATGAGATTTCATGTGCTGAACTAAATAAACAAGGAGGAAGTGTGACCTCACCAGGGTGGGCAAGGGGGAGCATGGCAGGATGAGCTCGGAGCAGTGATGAGGCCGAGCAAGTGTGGCCTCATGGGTCATGGGACCTGAGCTGGCTCCTTGGGAGGGCTCGGAGTGGAGGGACTTGGGTGTCCCCAGGGTCTATCTGGCTGCATGGGGTAGGGGGATATTAACGAGAGGACTGGAAGCAGGGAGACTCTGGAGGAGACAAGGTTGGGGAAAACAGCGTGAGGGCAAAGGAGTTGGCGGTTTAGGGGAGAGAATGAGTGGGCTCTGGGTCTATTTTTCAGGCTCAGGCTAGAAACAACAGGCCATCCTGATGGGCTGGATGTGGGCGTGAGAGAGAGAGAGGTGCAAGGTGTTCTTCCTGACAGCTGGAGGAGTGGAGGTGTCATTCACCAGATAGTTCTGGACAGATTGAACCTGGGATGCCCGTGGGAGCTCCCAGTGAGTGAGAGAGCGACAGCTGTAAAGTCTATGGCCCAGACCTGGTGTGGGATGCACTTGGATGGCCAAGAACCCCTCTCCCCAGGTGCCAGCAAGCATAGGCCACAGCCTCCAGATTCCATGTCCCTTTGACAATCAGCTGATACCCTTGTGTCTTACCTCCTGAAACGGGCCCAAGGACCCTTCCTTCTTTTTTTTTTCCTTTTCTCTTTCGATGTCTCTTTCTCTCTTTGTTTCTTTCTCTTTTTCTTTCTCTCTCCTTTCTTTCTCTTCCTTCCTTTCTTTTTCTTTCTTTCCTTCCTCCTTTCTTTCCCTTCCTTCTTTCCTTTCTCTTTCTTTTCCTTCCTTCCTTTCCTTCTTTTTTTTCTTTCTTTCTTTTTCTTTCTTTCCCTCTCTTCCTCCCTTCTTCCTTTCATGTTCTCTTTTCTTTTTCTTTTGTCTCTGTCGCCCAGGGTGGAGTGCATTGGCAAAATCACAGTGCACTGCAACATTGACCTTAGGGGCTCAAGCCTCCTGCTTCAGCCTTCTGAGTACTGGAGACTAGAGGCTTACACCACCACGCCTGGCTACTTTTTGTATTTTTGGTAGAGACGGGTGTTGCCATGTTGCCCAGACAGGTCTTCAACTCCTGGGCTCAGGCGATCCTCCCACCTCGGCTTGGATTACAGCATGAGCCACCACACTAGGTCGACCCTTCCTTCTAAAGACCGTGTCATGGGGGTTCCCTGACCCCTGATACCCATCCTGGGTTCCATTTCCCTCATATATTCCAGGCTCCCACAGGATAATCCAGGCCTGACTTTTGATTTATAAAGTCTGACTAGATGGTGCTCAGCAGATACAGCTGTCAGTAGTCTTATTTTAGAGGCTGCTGCGGCCAATCTGTCTGTTCCAATCCCAACACTACCACCCAGCAGCTGTGTGGTTTTGGATCATCAATAAGTGGTTTAACCTCTCAGTGACTCATTTTTGCCAACTCGAAAATGGAAGGTATTAGGCCAGGCGTGGTGGCTCACACCTGTAATCCCAGCACCTTGGAGGCCTAGGGAAGCGGATCACGAGTTCAAGACTCTGAGACCAGCCTGGCCAGCATGGCGAAACCCCGTCTCTACTAAAAATACAAAAAAGTTAGCCGGGCATGGTGGCACATGCTTGTAGTCCCAGCTACTCGAGAGGCTGAGGCAGGAGAAGTGCTTGAACCCAGGAGGCGGAGGTTGCAGTGAGCTGAGATCACACCACTGCACTCCAGCCTGGGCAACGGAGCAAGACTGTGTCTCAAAAAAAAAAAAAAAAAGAAAAAAGGAAGGTATTAATAATTTCTACTCTGTGGGGCAATTGAGAATTAAATGAATTTGAATATGTAAAGCTCTTAGAACATCACCCATTGCCTGGTACACAGTAAGAGTTACATGTGTTTGCAGTTATTAAAAGCATTTTTAAAAGGCATTGTTGGCCGGGCGCAGTTGCTCAAGCCTGTAATCCCAGCACTTTGGGAGGCCGAGGCGGGTGGATCACGAGGTCAAGAGATCGAGACCATCCTGGTCAACATGGTGAAACCCCGTCTCTATTAAAAATACAAAAAATTAGCTGGGCATGGTGGTGCGTGCCTGTAATCCCAGCTACTCAGGAAGCTGAGGCAGGAGAATTGCCTGAACCCAGGAGGCGGAGGTTGCGGTGAGCCGAGATGGCGCCATTGCACTCCAGCCTGGGTAACATGCGTGAAACTCCGTCTCAAAAAAAATAAAAAATAAAAAAAAAAAAGGCATTGTTTTAATTATATATATATATATATATTTTTTTTTTTTTTTAATTTAATTTTATTTTTTTTTTGAGGCACAGTCCTGCTCTATCGCCCAGGCTGGAGTGCTGTGAGGTAATCTCGGCCTCTATTTCCCTGGTTCAAGCGATTCTCCTTGCCTCAGCCTCCCAAGTAGCTGGGATTACAGGCGTGTGCCACCCCACCCAGCTAATTTTTTGTATTTTTAGTAGAGATAGGGTTTCGCTATGCTGGCCAGGCTGGTCTCAAACTCCTGGGCTCAAGTGATCTGCCTGCCTCGGCCTGCCAGCGTGTTGGGACTACAGGCGTGAGCCACTGCGCTGGGTCCTTTTAATGATATTGATGACCATATCGCCCTCGGTGGTGAGGGAGAGCCGGGCAGCTGGCGGTGGCGTGTGCGGGAGAGGGACTGTCCTCCCTGCCCCCCACCCCGACAGGGGTCTGAGGAGTCCTTGGCCACCCCCCTATGAGGCTTTTCTCCTCCCACCCAGGGCAACCTGATGGTGCCACTGCTCATAGGCTGCCCCCCAGGCAAGCGCCTGGCCTTCGACATCACCTACACGCTGGAATACAGCCTCCGGCAGAACAAACACTACTTTGACTGCGTGCACGTGGACCCCGAGATGCCCTGCTTTCTCTTCCGGGACAGTGTGTGTCCGTTCCCTTCCCCTGCACAGTTCACTGCCCTCCTGCCCCCACCACTTTGCGCGCTCCCTCCCCGCTCCTCTCCCGCTGGCCACCCACCCCTTGTCCTGCGGCATCTCACTTTCCCCCTCTCGGTCGTCAGCTTCTCCGGCCAAGCTAATTTCTTCTCCTGGTCTCAACCCCCCTCCAACCCCATAGTTTTCTACCCCTTCTTCTTGATTCAAGATTTGGTGACAGGAGACTCCGGCAGTTTCCAGGGCAGGTAAAGGCTTGGCCAGTTTGCAGCTAGGGCAGGTGGAGGGGGAGGAAGGGAAGGGGTGCAGGACTCGCCACCTGGAGACCAGTCCTTGTGCGCTTCTGTCCCTGGTAGCTACGTGCTGCTGGTGGTGGGTGGCGGGCCTACACTGGAAAGCATCAGAGACTACAGCAAGGACGAAATCTACCGTTTCAACAGCCCCCAGGACAAGTAATCCCCGCGGGGCCCCACGCGTAATCTGCCTTGCTTCCCCTGGAGGCCTTTCCCGCTTCCCAGCCAAGCCCACCTTGCAAGCCCCCGCCTTCGCATCTCAGGCCCCGCCCACAGCAGGTCTCTTAGGATCACACAGTCAAACTCCGGTCCACCCTAAGATCACGCCCCTTGCACCTAAGATCACACCTGAGACCACGCCCCCTGCACGCACCTCCGGCCTCGCTCCACACTAGCCGCTGAGGCCATACGTCCCCCACACCACCACCCCCCGACCCGTGGCTGAGATGACCTGGTCCTGCACAGGACCAACAGCCTTATCTGGACCACAAGGATCTCAAGGACCACCAAAGACTCAGCCTTCCACATCATGTCCCACGAGAGCCCCGGCATCGAGTGAGTTTGCAGCCTGGCCGCTAGGCCCTCTTGGCCCCCATCTGTCGGTAGTCCATCGGGCCCACCCATCCTTTCTACCTCTAGGAGGCCTCTTGATCCCCAAGTCACACGGATTGCCTTTGTGTTCCTCAAATGGGACTGAACTTTGCACAAGCGGAAGTCTCGGCCTGGAATGCTGCCCCCTCCCACTCTCTTCAGGCCTTAGATAGATGCCCTTTCAGCCAGGGGGACTTTTCTGTTTCAGGATGGGACAGTTTCCCTTTGTGGCTCCCATGGCCTCCTGGGGCTCTCCCATCCTGGCCCTGAGCCCTCTACCTGTGCATCCCCATCCCAGTGTGGGCAGGTCTGGGCAGTCACTGTGTGATGTGGCATCTATCTCCCTCAGGACTCTCCCTCAACATAGAATTTATTTGTTTATTTTTTGTGACAGGTTCCGTCTGTGGCCCACGAGGCTGGGAGTGCAGTCTTGGCTCACTCAACCTCCACCTCCTGGGTTCAAGCAATTCTCCTGCCTCAGCTGCCTCAGTTTCCCGAGTAGCTGAGGTTACAGGCATCTGCCACCACACCTGGCTAATTTTTGTATTTTTAGCAGGGATAGGGTTTCACCATGTTGGTCAGACTGGTCTCGAACTCCTGACCACAGGTGATCTACCCACCCGAAGTGCTGGGATTACAGGCGCATGCCACCATGCCCAGTTAATTTTTGTAATTTTGTATTTTTTTCTTTCTTCTTTTTTTTTTTTTTTTTTAAATGGAGTCTCTCTCTGTCGCCCAGGCTGGAGTGCAGCGGCACTATCACAGCTCACTGCAACGCCCCTGCCAACCTCCTGGGTTCAAACGATTCTCCTGCCTCAGCCTCCTGAGTAGCTGGGACTACAGGTGCATGCCCCCACACCTGGCTAATTTTTTGTATTTTTAGTAGAGATGGGATTTCACCACATTAGCCAGGATGGTCTTGATCTCCTGAACTTGTGATCCACCCACCTTTGCCTCCCAAAGTGCTGGGATTACAAGTGTGAGCCACCGTGCTCGGCCTATTTTTTTTCCTAGTAGAGACAGGGTTTCACCATGTTGGCCAGACTGGTTAACATAATATTTATTGAATGAAATAATGGACAAATGAATAAATTCATTCATGGCAGGCATTTATTGATATGTGAATGGGGGTATTAATGAATGAATAAAACAATGGAGAAACAAATTCATATATAGGGTCTCAATAACTAAGATTCATTCAATGAAGGGAAAAAAAATGAAGCCATGAGCAAATGAAGGCAGTGAATGAATGAACAACTTGCATCTAGTCAGAACTTAACCTGCATTTAAATTTTTTTTAAATTTTTATTTTTTGAGACAGAGTCTTGCTCTGTCACCCAGACTGGGGTGCAGTGGGGCCATCTCATCTCACTGTGACCTCCGCCTCTTGGGTTCAAGCGATTTTCCCACCTCGGCCTCCTGAGTAGCTGGGATTACAGGTGCATGCCACCATGCCTGGCTAATATTTGTATTTTTAGTAGAGACGGGGTTTCACCATGTTGGCCAGGCTGGTCTTGAACTCCTGACCTCAAGTGATCCACCTGCCTTGGCTTCCCAAAATGCTGGGATTCCAGGCTTGAACCACTGTGCCCGGCCTAACCTGCATTTATTGAATAATGAATAAAGAAGAGAATAAATGAAAGATGTGACTTTGTACCTAGCAAGTGCTCAAGCTATATTTATGGGATAAAGGACTGAAGGGAGCCAAGAATGAATAAGGAGTTGGCACATGATAGGTGCACAGACTGTAATCTGGATGGATGCACGTGACAGATGAATTGACAGATGGAGGCGTTCAGGCAGGATGATTGGCTGAGTGAATGAGGAATGAATGAGGGAAGGCATGAGACTGCACCCATTCGGTCCTCATCCAGAGTGTCGGGGTAGAGGAAGAAACTGGGCGTTGGCGCAGACTAGGCATGGTTGGTAGCACAACTGCCTGATCTTTGGCTCGCAGGTGGCTGTGTCTGGAGAACTCCCCATGCTATGACAACGTTCCCAGAGGCATCTTCTCCCCTGAATTCTTCTTCAAGGTGTTGGTGAGCAATAGGTGAGCCAGGCAGGTGGACCAGGTGCGGGTCAGGGGCTGCCCATGGAGTGCCCGGCTTCTCCTCTCATCCTGGATCCCTTCCCAACCCCTACAGAGGAGTGGACACAAGCACCTACTGCAACTACCAACTCACCTTCCTGGTGCACATCCATGGGCTGCCACTCAGTCCCAAGCGGGCCCTCTTCATTTTCATGGTGAGTGGCTGTCCGGGAGCTGCCCTGGTGGGTGGCCAGGGCCCTCCATGACTCCACACTTATGCTTGTTTTACCTTCCCTCATTCATTCCCTCACTTGCTCATCCAGGCATGCTGACTAAATGCCTACTGTGCAAGGGGCTGTCTATTCATTCATTTCAGCCATCACGCCTCCATCTGTCAATTCGTCTGTCATGTGCATCCATCCAGATGATGGACTGTGCACCTATCATGTGCCAACTCCTTATTCATTCTTTGCTCCCTGCAGGTGTCGACCAGCGTGTTTGTGGGCCTGGTGATCTTCTATATCATCTTCTGCCTCCTGTGGCCCCTCATGGTGAAAGGCTGCACGACGCTCCGGTGGAAGATAAATGACATCATTGCCTCAGACTCCTACTACACCTACACCTCCATTTCCGGAATCTCCAGCATGGCGTCTCTGAGACAGTCCAGGCAGGGCTCCATTGTCAGCTCCAGGATAGAAGAGGATGGGGCTGAACCCAGGGAAGCCATGGAGGGACAGTTGATGGCCTTAGCCTCTCACCTGCCCCCGCCCCCAGCCACCATCATGCCTCCCCTACAAGACCCATCTTGAAGATGTGCCTGTCACCCAGCCCAGGCCTCTTTTTCTGTTTTGCTTGATGTTTACTTCTCATTCAGACTCAAATAAAGCCTGACTTCAGGACCAGCCATGGGTTCTCTTAAGAACTCCAGAAGTTTTTATTTCTTTTTTTTTTTTTTTTGAGACGGAATTTTGGTCTTGTTGCCCAGGCTGGAGTGCAGTGGCATGATCTTGGCTCACGGCAACCTCTGACTCCCTGGTTCAAGCAAGTCTCCTGCCTCAGCCTCCCAAGTAGCTGGGATTACAGGCATGCACTAATTTTTGTATTTTTAGTAGAGACAGGGTTTTACCATGTTGGCCAGGATGGTCTCAATCTCCTGATCTCATGATCCACCCACCTCAGCCTCCCAAAGTGCTGGGACTACAGGCATGAGCCACCATGCCTGGCTGAGTTCAGAAGGTTTGTATCAGATAGCTGCACATTAAAGTATCATAAACCCGGTTAGGCACAGTGGCTCATGCCTGTAGTCTCAGCACTTTGGGAGGCCAGAGCAGGCAGAATAGTTGAGGTCAGGAGTTTGAAACCAGCCTGGCCAACATGGTGAAACCCTGTAACCCCATCTCTACTAAAAATACAAAAAAATTGCCGGGCGCGGTGGCTCACGCCTGTAATCCCAGCAGTTTGGGAGGCCGAGGCGGGTGGATCACGAGGTCAAGAGATCGAGACCATCCTGGTCAACATGGTGAAACCCCGTCTCTACTAAAAATACAAAAAATTAGCTGGGCATGGTTGTGCGTGCCTGTAATCCCAGCTACTCAGGAGGCTGAGGCAGGAGAATTGCCTGAACCCAGGAGGCGGAGGTTGCGGTGAGCCGAGATCGCGCCATTGCACTCCAGCCTGGGTAACATGAGTGAAACTCAGTCTCAAAAAAAAAAAAAAAAAAAAAAATACAAAAAATTAGCCGGGCATAGTGGTGTTTACCTGTAATTCTAGGTATTGGGAGGCTGAGGCAGGATAATCCCTTGAACCTAGGAGGCAGAAGTTGCAGTGAGCCAAGATTGTGCCACTGCACTCCAGCCTGGGCAACAGACCAAAACTCTGAATCAAAAAAACAAGACAAAACAATAAATAAAATATCAAAAAACTTCTAGATCACATGTTAAATAGTGGCTTTTTTGTGTGCCTGTTGGCTGAGCCCCTCCCTAGGGTGCCCCAGACCTCCCTGTGGTCCAGCAGGATCCTCCACAAACCAGACCCATTGCTACAGCTGACCATCTGTTCTGATTGTTCAGTGTTAAATATTTTGAATGTCCACACCTATCTAATGTCTTTAGGAAGGGACCCTGGAGATGTCAGGATTCTTATTTTAGTTGCAAATAGCAAATATTTCCCTCAAATTTTCTACCTGAAAATGGTAATTTATAGGCGTTGTTAATTTGGCTTCAGGTACAGTTTGATCCAGAAGTTCCCAACTTCCACAGGATTCAGCCTCCTGTGGACGTTGGGGACTACATTTCCCTGTAGTTTTTTCTTCTCTGTCCCCCTCTAAGTGCAGTCTCTGACCTCAGGACAACTCTCCTCACCATCTGAGGTTATATAGTCCATAATCTGGATGGATGCATAGTGACCGATGAATCGACAGATGGAGGTATGAAGGCAGAAGGAAATAAATGAGTAAAAAAATACCCTGATGCATGGTAGGCATTCAGTCAGCATTAATGGATGAACACATGAAAGACTGAATGAGGAAAGGTATGAGATTGTATCTAGTTGGTGCTCACCCAGAGTGTCAGGGTGGAGGAATAAACCAGGGGTTGGCATGGACTAGGCATGGTTGGTAGCACAAAATCCTAATGAAACTTGACAATAACAAGAGCTGGCAACACTCACGTGTGTAAGATCTACTGGCTAAGGATGTTTCCACCACTAAGATTCTATCGAGTCACCTCATGGTCCAGATAAACACATCATAATCCTGTATCAGCTAAGTCAACATGTGTTTTAAATACCACCATCTGCATTTCTGGCCAAGATAGAGTGACTGGGACTGGGTTTCCCCTCATACTTGAAACAATATATATATTTTTAAACAGGATCTCACTCTATGGCCCAGGCTGGAGTGCAGTGGTGCAATCTTGACTTACTACGACCTCTGCCTCTCAGGCTCAAGCAATTGTCCTGCCTCAGCCTCCTGAGTAGCTAGGATCATAAGTGTGCACCACCACACCTGGCTAATTTTTTTTTTCTAAGATGGAGTCTTGCTCTGTTGCCCAGGCTGGAGTGCAGTGGCACAATCTCAGCTCTTGCCTCCTGGGTTCAAGCGATTCTCCTGCCTCAGCCTCAGGAGTAGCAGGGATTACAGGCACCCACTACCACGCTAATCTTTTTGTATTTGTAGTAGAGACAGGGTTTTGCCATCTTGGCCAGGCTAGAATTGAACCCTTATCCTCAAGTGATCTACCCAATTGGCCTCCCAAAGTGCTGGGATTACAGGCGTGAGAAACCGTGCCCAGCTAACAAATATTTATTGACTGTCTATTAATATCTGCCAAGCACCGAGATACTGGGAATTCAGTAGTGAAGGAAACTGTCCTGCCTTCATGGAGATGACACTCTAAATGGTGGAGAGAGTCAGGTTTGAGAAAAATGTGCTGGCCAGACACGGTGGCTCACACCTGTAATGCCAACACTTTGCAAGTTCAAGGCAGGAGGATTGCTTGAGCCTAGGCGTTCGAGACCAGCCTGAGAAGTATAGCGAAACCCTGTCTCTACAAAAAATTTTAAATAATTTTTTTTGAGACAGAGTCTTACTTTGTCACCCAGGCTGAAGTGCAGTGGTGCCATCTCAACTCACTGCAACCTCCGCCTCCTGGGTTTAAGCAATTCTCCTTCCTCAGCCTCCTGAGTAGCTAGGATTACAGGTATGCATCATCAAGCCCAGCTAATTTTTGTATTTTTAGTAGAGACGAGGTTTCACTGTGATGGTCAGGCTGGTCTAGAACTCCTGACCCCATGATCCGCCTGCCTCAGCCTCTCAAAGTGCTGGGATTACAGGCGTGAGCCACTGCACCCAGCCAAAATATTTTTAAAGGGAGAGAAAAAGGCTGGAAGAGGGACTCCCTCTAAAAAAAAAAAAAAAGGAGAGAAGAAGGGATGTTGAATGTGCAAGTGGTGCAAGTGTAATATCAATCAATGGAGGAAGCAGAAGTTGGTTTAAGAAGTTGTGAATCCTGGCTAGGCAAAGTGGCTCACGCCTGTAATCCTAACACTTTGGGAGGCCGAGGCAGGTGGATCACCTGAGTTCAGGAGTCCTAGACCAGCCTGACCGTCACGGTGAAACCTCGTCTCTACTAAAAATACAAAAACTAGCTAGGCGTTGTGGCACATGCCTGTAATCCCAGCTATTTGGGAGGCTGAGGCAGGAGAAACGCTTGAACCGGGACCCGGGATGCCGTGAGCCGAGATCACGCCATTGCACTCCAGCCTGGGCAACAAGAGCTAAACTCCATCTTAAATCCTCCACTTATTTATGACTTCTTTTTCTTTTTCTTTTTTTCTTGAGTTGGAGTCTTGCTCTGTTGCCAGGCTGGAGTGCAGTGGCGCGATCTTGGCTCACTGCAACCTCCACCTCCTGGGTTCAAGCGATTCTCCTATCTCAGCCTCCCGAGTAGCTGGGACTACAGGTGTGCGCCACCACGCCCTGCCAATTTTTGTAATTTTAGTAGAGACGGGGTTTCACCATGTTTGCCAGTATTCTTGACCGTGTGATCTGCCCGCCCCGACCTCCCAAAGTGCTGGGATTACAGGCATGAGCCACCGCGCCCGGCACATATATTTAAAGCCATAGAACTGGATGAGTTCGTTCATATTTGTATAAGCTTGGGGAAAAAAACGTGGAAGGATGCTTTGAGAAAGAGACGGCTGTTAGTCCTTTGGAAGGTTACCCAGCCTCTCAAAGCCTGTCTATAAAATGAGAATAACACCGCTTGCCAAATGGCACGACATTGCCACCTCTTGGCTTGGAAAAGCTGCCCTAAAGGCAAAATCTCCAGGACAGCTATGTAGCGTCCCCAACACCGAGTGAAGCCAGGGCAGCCATATTTATTACTGGAACCGTGAGGTGGGGGGCGGAGTGGATGGCGTTGAGACAGCTCTCATTTTCACTTAGGGCAAATCCCTACTTCCGGTCACCATCTTGAGTGACGACAGGGGTGGGGCTCCAACTGACATGTTCATTAAGGGCAGGGCTCCGAGGGCGCCACCTCGAGAGCGACAGCGGGCTGCCCGGGGCGGGCGGAGGCAGGCTGTAGCCCCGCCCCGGGCCTTGGGCTCCACCTCTCGGCCCCACTTCCGCCGGGCGAGCGTTTGTAGGCGGCGCTGCCGTAAATTAGGCGGTGGGTTTGCCGCATCACGCAAGATGGCGACCGCGGCGGTGAATGGGGCGGCCGGCTTCCCGAGCTCCGGGGCTGCGGCGCCTTCGGGCGCTGTCCTGCAGGCTGCGGCCGGCATGTACGAGCAACTCAAGGGCGAGTGGAACCGTAAAAGCCCCAATCTTAGCAAGTGCGGGGAAGAGCTGGGCCGGCTCAAGGTAAGGTCGGCAGGCCCAGGAAACCGAGTGTTGCAGGCGTGGGGGGCGCTATGAGGTGTCTGGACCCAAGCAAGTCCCGGGCCACAGAAGACACCTCGGTGCCCGCGAGACTGAGGCGGGCTAGGGGATCCGATGGGGCGAAAGATTTGGAACAGCCAAGGTGCGGGCCCGGAGGGGGTCAAGAAGCGAGAGAGGGACGGGCGCGGTGGCTCACACCTGTAATCGCAGCCCTTTGGGAGGCCGAGGCCAGGAGTTCCAATCAGCCTGAACAACAAAGCGAGACTCCGTCTCTACAATTTTAAGTGAGAGATGACTGGAATGGACCCACGCGGGGGTGATGGGGAAATGATGGAAAGACTCGTGATGGCAGAACTGAGTGAGGGATTAAATTTTTGGTGCTCAGAGGCTTACCTGGTCGGAGTGGTAGGATTGGGGTTCGGGCTTTTCCTGATGGCCGATTCCAGGCAAGACCAAGTGGGAAGAAATGAGGACTGCCCAGAGTGATAAAAGAATGAGGCTGAAAAGGTGGGCTGTGTA